GTCATAAAGTAAAAATTAGATGAGTGTGGTTTTAGATAACTTTGAAAAGTTATCATATAAACTAAATGATAAAATTTTGAAATATAGTTAAGGTAAATAATTGGACGAAAGTAATTTGGATAACCTTAATTATTGTTTTTAATAAAATTTATTATACATCTATAATATCATATATATATTATTTATATTAATAGCATTTAAAACAAAATAATTTCTTCTCTATTTTTTCTCAAAATTTACATAAAACAAAACCTTCATGATGTTTTTACAAGTTTTAGATGAGTTATTTATATTTTTAATATGCAAATTATTTAAGTTGTCGAGAACATTATAATAATAAAGTTTTATAATAAAAAGTTTATAAAACCTTATTGCATTATAAGTCAATCAAACTTTATTTTAATTTTTAAATAAAATATAATTTAAAACTTAATCAAAATCTTTATAATATTGTTGAAAATAAATTGTTTATTTCAAAAAGTAAATATAATGACATACTTATTATTATTATTATTATTATTATATAAATAAATGAGAAAAATATACAAAAATCGAACTCGGAACTATATACAGATTTATGTATTTATCTATATACAAATATATTTTATATTTTTATATTTGTAAAGACCGATCTTAATTCTTCTTTAGAAGGATTGAAAATTCTAAATCATACGAAAACTTAATGACAAAAAAGTCACCACCAATATGATCTACATATAAATCATTAATTCTTCAATGGACTATCAAAATATGAGATCACATAAAAATAATTCATATTCAACCTTTTCATACAAAATATATTGAAAATAATTTAGGGATAATCGCCAAAAAAACCTTGTACTTTTTCTAGGTCAACAAAAAACTATGTACTTTTTATCACCAATTAAACCCTATACTTGGTATGATTAATCCATAAAACCCTGTACTTTTTAAAAATTCACCGAAAATCTCTTGCGACTGCCAATTCAAACAAAAATGATGATGTGACAATGACATGGAATGAACATATCATCATAATTATATCACATCATCATATTATTTTATCTTACTTTAATTACAAATAAAATCAAAATATCGTTATTCGATTTTGATGATACATTTATATAATCTTTATTTGTAATGTCCAGACTATTCTCCATCATATAAATTCAAACATATAATTTTGATTTAAAAAATAACAATAATATTTTTAAACTTTTTTACATGAGATGATCTAGCAACATGAATCGGTTTACAATGAATAAAATAATTGTTAGAAAAACTATTAAAGTTTTTATATCTATATGAAAGTTTTTCGAAAATTGGTGATTTTTAGGTTAATTTATCTTTTAAATATGAAATACGTATGATATAAAATAAAAATATTATTATATTAAGTTAACTAATATTTTTATTATTTTTTTCCTTTATTAAGTTAACTAATGATTTTTTTGATTTAGGTTTGTATCACTCACACATCATATCATTTATGAAAAAATAAAAAAAGTCAACCTAATAAAAAAAATGATCATAACAACTACGCAAATTTAACTATTCTTAAAACAAATGATAACTATAATATTTAATAATATAACTTTTAGTATTACCTTATAAATAATTTTTGTAGAGAGATTGAAATAAATAGATCAAGAATAAGCATGTTTAGAACAAATTATTATGAGCAATTTTATAAATAGCCTATGCAATAATATTCATGTCTCCTTACTTCTTTATTTCTTTAAATACATGATTTTTTAATATTTTAATATTATAAATATACTTTTTCTAAATCAAATAAATAATCTATATCATTTATACTAAATTTATATTAATAAATACTATAATTTTTTTTAAAAAAATAGAATAACCCGCGCAACGCGCGGGTCTCACCTAGTTTAAAATAAAAAAATTAATCTTATTAATATTTAATATGATATTGGCCCGTGTTGTTAATTTGTAATCTCAATTTACACATTTTTCACAATTGTGTATACAAACCAGGGGTAGGCACGGTTCGGATACCTAGAAAAATTGAGAGATTTGGATTTGGATTCAGGAGGTTCGGGTATTTAGCTATAAAATTTGTATCCGGGATTTGGTATTTACGAGTATCCGGGATACGGATATTCGGAATAATGGTCGGGTATTCGCGGGTATCCAGATCCGGATTTATTTAAGAAAAACAATAATATTTATATATAAAATTTTCAAAAAATGAAGATATATTTATAAAAATTGATGAATTATGATAAAATATATGAGATAAAAGGAGATAATAAGAGATAAATAATAATAAATTTATTTTTTTTGAATTAATATTAAAACATATGAAATTATTTAATCTAAAATATTTATATTTTATAAAAATATTATATAAATATAAGATATAATTATTTATAATCATAATTGTTGGGTACACGAGGGTATCCGGTTTTAAAAATTATATTATCTGGATTTGGATTCGGATTCGGATTCGGATTCATAGATATTGAAAAATCGATATTTGGATTCGGATTTAAAAATTACGAGTACCCTAAAATCGGGTATCCGTGAGACGAGTATCCGACGGATACCCGATTTTCGGGTATTTGTGCCCATCCCTAATACAAACCATATCGTCGTTATTTTTTTAACGTTTTAAGGCGAAGGTGTTGATGTGATTTGTCGAAAAATCTTTGGAAGCATTTTGGTTATTATCCGAATCGATCCAAACAAAATAAAATATAACAATAATTGGCGAATTCGATATAAAAACAAATGATTATGATTTTTTTTAAACACTAAAAAAACGAAATTGAATTGAACCAAACCAACTAAAATCGAAACGAATTTGATATAAAAATTAAATGATTACAATTTTTTATAACCTAATAAATGAATTCGAATACAACAGAACCGAATCAAAATCTGGAATGAAACCCCTAAAGTCACGGCGACATCATATCACAAAACTCTTCACCTCAACAAGTTAAAAAAATTTAAAAAATCATATATATACTTATACACATAAATACATATGTTCATATATAGAAAATTCCATATAATTAATTCAATTTTCTAAAACAATTATCAAAAAATATATTAATTTGTTACATGTTAGAATAATACATTAACTTTCAAAATTATCTTCAGATTCTTGTTAATCCGATCACAATTTCCAATTATATAAGCGTCATGCCATAAAAAAATGTCACGTCACATATGTATATATATGTAAATAAATATTATATATGTATGATTTTTTTTTTGTTTTTAAAATTGCTGATGCGATAATTTTTTATGGCATTTTTTTTTGGTCTGATGTTGGTGTTGACATAAAATTTCCAACGAACCACGTTAATAACTTTAATCCAAAACGTCAGGAGACAACTTCGTTATGATTCGTACAGAAAATTGAGAGAAATATGTAAATCAACGTATCATTTTGAAAGTTTTACAAATTGATTTATTTATTGATATAAGGATTCAGAAAATTTGTGCATTTGGGATTTTCATGTGATAATATAATATTAATATCAAGTTTTATTAATAACTGATCTCAAGCTAATCTCACTCACCCGCACGTAATCATTGGGTTTAAAATGGATGGCTCGGACCAATCCAATACGGCTCGTTTCGATCTGGGAATATTTTAACCCAACCCAACCCAGTCCATTTTTTAACGAGTCAAAAATTGATCAGTCCAACCCAGATCGCGTTAGCTCGCGAGCCAAACGAATTGATTCACGAGTTAAATATATTTATTTTTAAAAAATAATATTAAAAATAATATAAATATTTAAAAAATTATAAATATAATAAAAATAAAAATTTTAAGCAAAACAAACTAAATATCTAATAAAAATATAATTTTTATATAAAATATATAAAAAAAATTAAAATTTTAAAAAAAATATATATTTTCCTGACTCAGATATTTTGAACTGACTCTAAAAAATATGGAGCGACTCGCGAGATAACCCGGAAGCCGGCTCATTTTACACCTCTACGTACCCCTACGTAATCAGAACCCCTACGTAATCAGAAGAAGAGCTATAGTACTCTGTATACGGTATTACTGTCTTGATAATATTACAATAAAAGAAATAATGTGTTATAAACAATTGTGTTTTATAAAAAAAACAATTATTTTTCAACATTTGTCGGACGATGAGAAATAGATTTTTCGATGGTTGGTTGATCAGAAATTTTGACTGAACAATGACCCTCCAATAAATAAAAATCAACTGACGTGGTTATAACTTATAATTGTTTTAGTCACTCATATATACACTCTGGAATTGTCCCGTTTCGTACGTTTGGAGAGAATAATACGCAAAGTCAATATATGCACGATATGAAATAAAAAGAAAGTATAATTTATATATATATATATATGTATATATCTCAAAATGATTTGTTAAATTGGGGATATAACATAATTAAACCCCTATTTCTCGTAATGGGCTAACTGCCTCTGACCCTAAGACATATACTATATAGTATAATTTTGTAACTAAAAGGTTCGGTTTTAAAAGCTGAACATGTGAATGTGTTATTTATGGATCCACCTTATCTCATTCTCCAAATATTGAAAAAACCCATATGCATGCATATCATATCAGGAAGCATGTCTTAATCCTTCTTTCAATGGTTAATATTACAGTAATTAATTTCACATATAACGTTTTCGGCATCATATCAAATTCTAATTTTCTACCTAATATATAATCTACCAAGAAACCCCCCCTCCTTCAAGGAAAATATATTCGTGTGTGTATGTAAATTGTGTACATGGATGGACCGTATCATCATATACCGGTTGTATATCAATCATAATACATAAAATATGCCACGAAACCATAATGCAACGTGACGATTCGCACATGTTCATTTCCTATCCACCCAAAGCCACCAAATATTATTTTCTCAACTACTCTCTCCTAATACTTTCTTCTTATAGGATATATAAAATATCAATCATCTCTACATATATATATATACCCATACTCCTTCGTCATATATATCAATCCTTTGGAGAGAAAAAACTTCACAAACATTTTCCAACATCGCTGTGCATAAAAACCATATAGTACACATAATACATTACGTACATCGCCGTCTCTATAAACGGTCGGAAAATGGAAAACGTTGCCGTCTATGTCGGCTTAGCCACGGCGGTGATATCGGCTTACGCTATTTGGTTCTATCTTCTTTCTCGGCGACTCACCGGTCCCAAGGTGTTTCCTTTGGTCGGAAGCTTACCGTTTCTGATGGCAAACCGGGGTCGAATCCACGATTGGATCGCCGAAAATCTCCATGCGGCCGGTGGTACGTACCAAACTTGCACCATCATGATACCGATCGTGGCCAAGAAACAAGGGTTTTACACCGTAACGTGCCATCCGAAGAATCTGGAACATATCCTCCGGACAAGGTTCGACAACTACCCGAAAGGTCCCATGTGGCGGACCGCGTTCCACGATCTGTTAGGACAAGGCATTTTCAACAGTGACGGCGAGACGTGGCTCATGCAACGTAAGACGGCGGCTTTGGAGTTCACGACGAGGACGCTGAGACAAGCCATGGCTCGGTGGGTGAACCGGGCGATCAAGAACCGGCTTTGGCTGATCTTGGACCGGGCGGTTAGAGAATCCAAGCCGGTCGACCTTCAGGACTTGTTCCTAAGGTTGACATTCGATAACATCTGCGGTCTGACTTTCGGTAAAGACCCGGAGACGCTGTCGCCGGAGCTGCCAGAGAATCCTTTCGCGGTTGCGTTCGACACGGCGACCGAGGCCACGCTCCAGCGGTTTCTTTACCCTGGTTTCTTGTGGAGGGTCCAGAAAATTTTAGGGATAGGATCGGAGAAAAGACTGGAGAAGAGCCTACAAGTGGTGGAAGATTACATGAACGAAGCCATCGATGCTCGGAAGAATTCTCCGTCCGATGATCTTCTGTCTCGGTTCCTGAAAAAGAGAGACGTGGACGGGAAATTTCTGCCGATCGACGTTCTCCAACGCATAGCACTCAACTTCGTGCTGGCGGGACGAGACACGTCATCGGTCGCTTTGAGTTGGTTCTTTTGGCTCGTCATGGACCATCCAGAGGTCGAGAACAAAATCCTGAAGGAGATATCGATGGTTCTGAGAGAGACACGTGGCGATGACCCAACTAAGTGGACGGAGGAGCCGTTGATGTTCGACGAGGCTGACCGGCTCGTCTACCTGAAGGCTGCCTTGGCTGAAACGCTGCGTTTATACCCTTCTGTGCCTCAGGTGAGTTAAAAAGTAAAAAAATTATTAATGGATCTTGAAATTTGAATGTTAATGTGCGTTTCGTTGACGGATAGGCCAATCTCTTATATATAGTATCATATTGTCTCGAAATGCAAAGTCAATAAGCTAATGTTCTTATAATCAAGAAAAAAATCACAAACTTTAGAAAAATAATAGTAATATTGACAAATATATCAATATTCTAACGTTTGAAAAACGATATCTATCTTAGAAAGTTAGTTAATTTTCTTTACCTCTTAATTAGTTATACTTTCATTTTTTATATAAGGGTCTTCCATCATAGACAAAATAACCCTAACCAATATTTGTACAAATTTAATATTTATTTGTCTAACAAAACGACCGTACAATATATTTCGGAATAAATAGGACTTCAAATACGTGGTGGAGGACGATGTATTGCCGGACGGGACGTACGTGCCGAGAGGGTCAACGGTGACGTACTCCATCTACTCCATCGGACGAATGAAATCCATTTGGGGCGACGACTGCCTCCAGTTCCGACCGGACCGCTGGCTGTCGGCCGAGGGAGACCGGTTCGAACCGCCCAAGGACGGGTACAAGTTCGTGGCCTTCAACGCGGGACCGAGGACCTGCTTGGGCAAGGACCTAGCATACCTCCAGATGAAGTCCGTGGCGTCGGCCGTCCTCCTCCGTTACCGGCTCTCCCCGGTTCCCGGTCACCGAGTCCAGCAGAAGATGTCACTCACTCTCTTCATGCAGAACGGGTTACGTGTCCTCATGCAACCTCGTCCCCGTGAGCAGCTGCTTGCGTAAAACCACGAGGGTGGTGGGGATATATATGTCATTTCAGTTTCTGTTTAATTATCATAATTAAGCAAATGCCTTGTTTCCTTCGCCTACATACATATATAACATTGTCATATGTGTATATCGTATGGTTGTCACTTTTGTTTGTTCGAGTTTGTTGAACTCTTCTGAGTGAAAAATTTCCTCTTCATCATTTGCAACTCTATTTTGAAAGGTATGCTTATATACATATACATATACATATATAGAGAGAGGGAGAGAGTCTTAATCTCTTTTGACTAAATTACACTCCATAAGGTACATGTGTTTTTACCCAATAGTTAGTGGTACAATGGTTGAAAGGTGACAAAGTCTGAACAAAATAAGAATAGGAATATGAGTTTCTCGGCTTTACGGGTTGTGCCGACAATGGAGAATTAGGTTTTAGAGATGAGAGACACTTTGTAAAAGAAATACTCTCGTAATAATATTATTCATTAATAATATTATTCGAGTGTGTGGTTTCCTTAAAGTCCTAGGTTCAATTCTGTTGGTGGAGAGAGATATAATTTCTGGACCAAAATGGTCCATATACAAAAGCTGATATCGGCCTAAGGTGGATGTAGTCGGACCGAAGGTGTGGGAACCATCATAGTTATAAAAAAAAAGGTCCATGTGTTTTTTAAAATGTATATCATTGAAAAAAAATTTGGTAACCAGATATTCTAAATCGAGGTGGAGAATAATTCTGGATCGAAAGTATACCATATGATTGGAATTAAGTTTCTCTTCCTAACCAACTTGAGATTCGAAATTAGAATGGAACAAACGTTTTACGTATTCATTTCACTGGTTGAATATCATTTAAAAATTATAACTCTATTAACTTGTGTGTGTATATATATAATCGATTTATGTTCAGCTAAAAAGCATGTACAATGTCTTTAAATACAGGAACCTAAGATCTGAGCTTTGTCCGAAATGCAAACAACGTCAAAAAAAGAAAAGAAAAGAGGATTCAATGTGAAAACCATGTTGGCAACAGATTGCTTGTTGTCTACGGAAAAAAATCAACAAAGAGCTTAGAGCTATATATAATTTCTTATCCATTCATTAAAAAAAAAACAACGTAGGTAGATCCATGGTATGGTATAGCAAATAACATTGGTGTTAAAACAGAAATTTACTTTATTCTAATTCACAATCAAACTGAAAACTTAGCAAGTACATGACATTGTACTTTGAAAGACAAGATATCAAAGGTTGTCTTCTCAGACTCAGAAGAACCGATCTCTCACAGAGACCAACTCGTTCAGTGACTCAGCCATCACTATCCGATTCATCGGAGATTCTTCAGAACACTTCACTCCCACCTCAATAACAAGTTTCAAGCATTCAGCTGTCCCGACCTCCGCTTCCCGGAGAATCGATCCCTCTGCAATGTCTAGTACTCTTCCCAGTAATGCCGCCTTGGCGAAGTTGTGAAGGCTAAGATTGTCGACGAATAATTCATCCGTCGGTCTTTTCCCGGTGAACATCTCCAGCAAGAGGATCCCGAAGCTGTACACATCGCCCATTATCGAAGGTTGACCTCCCATTCCATATTCTTACACAGAGAAAAAAAAACAATGAGATTTTAAAGATTTAACGATCACAATATGTACGGTACAACAATCGATCAATCGATATGAAACATGTTTTCAAGGACAGAATACCTGGTGCAGCATAACCGATGGTTCCTCTAACGCCTGCAGAGCTGAATTGGTTAAGGTATGATTCTGGATCGAATTTGAAAAGGAGCCGAGCCAAACCAAAATCGCTGACGTGGGCAGTCATATCATCACCTAGAAGAATGTTGCTCGGCTTCAGATCACAATGAGCTATAGGGTCGTGACAATAAGAATGAAGATAGACCAAAACCGAAGCCACATCTATGGCTATGTCTAGTCTTTCAAGAAGGGTAAGGGTTCTTGGGAGGTTGTCGTCAATGCCTTCGATTACTTGCTCTGGGTGCAGCCATTTGTCTAAGCTCCCGTTAGGCATGAACTCATAAACCAATGCTCTAAACCCGTCTCCTTTGAAGTCGATGCTTGAACAAGCGGTAACCAGTTTCACGAGGTTACGATGCCTTATGCCTCGTAGGGCTTCGCATTCTGCCATAAAACTCTTTGCAGCTCCACGTCTCCCGAGGTTCAGCACTTTGATCGCAACAGCCTTATTCTCAGCCCCGAGGAACCCTTTATACACAACCCCAAAACTACCTGACCCGATCAGATTGACAGAAGAGAAGCCACCGGTTGCATTATGAAGCTCTTCATAGCTTATCCTTGGGGAGAAGGACTTGAAACGGTTCACAGAAAGATCGTTTTTGTTGTCGACTTTCTGGTCACTCTTCGTCCTCCGTGCGTACCGATATAGGAAAATCATGATCAGAGATAACAACAGCAGTGATGATACACCTAAACTGACTCCAAGGGCAATTTTCTTCCTTGCTGATAAATTCCTTCTTGGTTTGGTTGGCACTTGTACAGAGCATGGCTTAAGCTGCAATGATGGGATTCCTCCACATAGCCTTATGTTACCAAAGACCGAGACTGCACTAGAGTTCCGAAATACCCCTTCTGTTGGCACAGCCCCTTTGAAATTGTTCATAGAGAGATTCAGATTCTGCAGGGAAGAAAAGTTCAACAGATATCCAGGTATTGGGCCAGAGAGATTGTTGCTGGACAGATCAAGGAATTTGAGGCCAGTTAAACCACTTATATCCGGGATGACTCCATCGAAGAAATTCCCCTGCAACCAAAGAAATTCTAAAGACAGACAACTCCCCAGAGTTCGCGGGATATGCCCTGATAATTTGTTGTGTGAAACATCTAATGCTAAAAGATGTTTCACATTTCCAATTTCCTCTGGCAAAACGCCAACCAAAGAATTATACGAGACATTCAATATAACAAGAGATGGAAGTTCCAGAAGCTCCCTCGGAATGATACCGCTCAGCTTGTTAGTGCCAAGCTCCAGGTCTAGAAGATAACTGCAATTTCCGAGACTTGAAGGGATGCTTCCTTCGAAACTATTGTTGAGCAGATAAAGGTACGATAACCGAGTGATATTGCCAAGGGAAGATGGTATCTGTCCTGAGAAACCATTTGAATATAGCAAGACTTTTCCCAATCCGGAAAGCGTCCCTAACGAGGCGGGGAGCTCACCCGTCAACAGATTCTGTCCCAAGTCTAGTGTTTGCAGGTTTATGAGGTTTCCAATGCCATAAGGAACACTCCCAGAGATGAAATTCTCTCCAAGGGAAAGTTCGGTCAGCTGGGTTGAGAGATTGGCTATGGAGGCAGGCAACAGACCACCCAGACTATTGTAGCCAGCATTCAGGGATTGCAGTTGGGAGCAGTTAGCCAAAGCACCAATAAAATCAAGATCACCAGAGGAGTAATTCCCCAGAGAGTTATTATTGAGCCCCAGCAGTTGCAAGTTTCCAAGTTTCCCAAAACTCAATGGCACACTTCCTGTTAGCTGGTTAGAAGGCATATCAAGCTGCTGAAGAGTTGAAACATTGGAAAGCGTAGCCGGAATGGTTCCCGTGAAATAGTTTATCCCCATGTAGAGCACTTCAAGGTTAGGGAGAAGGGTGCCGAAATCAGGGCGAAGGCTACCCGAGAAATTGTTGCTGGTTATGGACAAGAACACGAGCGAGGATAGGTTGTAAATAGGAGGAGGGAAAACACCTGAGAATTTGTTCAGAGCTATTCGGAAATACACCATCTGTGTCAGTCTGGCGATACTCTCCGGGATCTCTCCTTCCATTTGGTTGTATATAAAGTCGAGCTTCTGGAGTGATGTCAGGTTTCCCAGAGAGGCAGGGAACCTCCCTGATAGATTGTTTCTACCAAGAGACAAAATGACAAGCTTAGACAAAGACCCTAGTTCAGAAGGTACATCGTGTTCGAGATGGTTGGTTGATAAATCAAGGGCCAAAAGACTAGAACAGTTAGACAGGCCAACCGGGATCTCTCCTCCGAGAAAATTATTGCTCGTGTTCAAGTATTGAAGCCTAAACAACCTTCCAACCTCCAGAGGGATGGTGCCACGGAAAAGGTTGTCTGCGAGATTAAGTGATCTAAGAAATGAGAGGTTACCGATAAAGGGCGAGATTAACCCGGATAACTTCAGCCCTCCAAGATCCAAACCAGTAATTCTTCTGTGCTTCGAGCCACATGTAACCCGAACCCAACTGCAAAGAGGAAGGGAGTCATTCCATGAGGCCAGAGCAGCAACTCCACTCTGTTCAGACACTTGAGACTTGAACTCAAGCAATGCTTGCTCGTCAGTCTTCTCGGTGAATCGAACCGTTTCTGCCCAGACCACACCCGAAGCTTGAAGTAACACAAGAGCATGGGAAGCAAGTACAAGAAACGACGTTAAACAAGGAAGATCCATGGAGAGAAACGGGTCTGTTGAAACAAAATGAAGAAGTACCACGCAAATAAGCCTTATGGATCCTATTATACAACAATGAAGGGATATATCGTTTATGCTTTCAGAACCAGACAACCATAATGGCAGGAAACTCCAAAAATACGGCGCTAATAAATTGTAATCTAAGTCAACTTTTACAAAGTAGCGATTGCAAAAGAGTGAAGGTGATGTTCAACTAGAGTTGACTAAAACCCTCAACATGCAAAGCCAAACACCATAGTGATATATATATATATACATGGATGGACCTAGAAAAATATTTAAAAGAAGACAACTTAATTTCAATATTTTATGTGGAAATATTTAACAAATATACTTAAAAATTTACAAAATTTATAAAGAAAATTAATATTTTTTTATTAGATCAATGAGACATATGCCCGATTCGACCCGAGTCCTGCCCATTCGACCCGAGTCCACACTCGACCCGAGGGTTTCGGGTTCGGGCTCAGACTGACCTGATTTTTTTGAGCCTATACAACTAAACCCGAAAAGTGGCCCTATAGGTTTCAGGCTCGGGCTGGACCACCTCGACTCGTTTAATTCTTTTGTAACCTTTTTACTTTTTATTAATTTTTATTTTGGAAAAAAAAAAATTATCGTGCTTTCGGATAGGCCGAAGTTCGATTTGAGCCCAGTCCGAAAGTCCATTTTTTTCGGGCAAAAAAACTTAAGTTTGAAACCCGACATTTTTCGGGTGGACTTGAGCCGGACTTCGGACCCAAATTGGCACCCTACATTTGACTAACGTACTTGAAATGCGCTCAAGGAATGTCTGACTTCTTACCAATGCCAATCACATCTGCAATTTTGGCACATACCAACTTTCTCCTACAAAATGGAAAATAGATTAAATATTGTAAGCTAAGAAACCATAGTCGCTCAGAGAAGAACAAGAAATCTTGCAGATAATTTTTTCCCATTTGTACCTCTTCTATGTTGAATACATGTATATATATACCGTATAATTCTCTGATTCATTTTCTAGACCGAGTAGAGGATCCCTACACAAGATGATACATCCCCCAGGTTACTACTTCACCATTAGCAAATTTGCTTTAACAGAACACAAGAACTCAAGGATTAATAAATAGACAGATTCAACAAAGCCCCAAAGAACCCCCAAGAAATTAGCTGACACAAATAAAGCTTATTCAACTTCAATAATCATACATCTCCTGAGCCACCTTCGAGCGACAAGAAGTACAGAAACACAGTTCAGGGCGGAGAAAACCATACAAACCTCTGTTAGGAGAAACCAATGAACTCTCACATTCAACGAGCTTTCACTCCAACTATGCACCTCCGAATAACAGATGATACTCTAGATTACTTACAACAAGACGGTAATCAGTTACATTGCTAACCAAAAACGTGCGTGTGTGTTCTGTACCCCTTTACTGCGCTCAGGAGGACAGGACAGGAGTAGCAAGCTTTGCATTTATCCACATTAAGCAGACACGCCGGGAAGACTGTGGTCACTCAAATCCCTGTAGAACATCGGAGCATGCAGCAAATGTCGATTCAGTTACTAGCATGAATTATATATAATGAGATGGAAACAATTCCTTCACCACATCAAAAGGATATAATGACTTATTTCATTTCAAATGATGAACCAAAGATCCTCAACTATCATGAGATGCTGCCATTAGAATGAAGCAGCTACACCTACAACAGGGTACACAACTCTCTTGAAAAGAAATACAGAGCCTATTGCAGTAGATCGTAGTTACAAGTTGTAACTTACAACCAGATGATCATTGAGCATGCAGGTTTACCACCATTTATATCCCGTTAGAGACGCCGATCATCTCTCTCCATGACGATGATAGGCGCAATCCTCACCATGGGAAAAGCCCATTTGATATCCATCCCTTTGTCCCTTGTCTTGGGGGAGGTTTCTGATCGCCTTCTTGATTCTCCTTCCTCTCTGCCATTATTATCTCTTCGATAATCATTATAAGCATCATATATTCTGGATCTTGCAGGTAAGTTTTCCCTCCAAACCAGAACATCGTCATCCCTTGTTAGTCTTCTTTCATGTTTTTCTCCACGATCACCTCATGACTTGCTTTTATAATCCGTATCACTCATACAAACTCTGGTTTCCTCCTTCCTGCTACTTTCCCTAGGGTGGCCATTGGAGGCACCCATATAATCCTTTGCTCCTTAACTTCTATCTTTATCATCAGGCCTGACTTTCCCTCGATCTCATGCCGTCAAACTTCTGTCCTCTGTCATCAAAAGCGAAAAATCCGGAGAGGAAATACAATCCATTGACAAGAAAAAAAAACCAGGAGAACAAGTGGGTCTGAGCTATTGACCGAAAATAAGACTAACCTACAGAGAGAGATGAACGTCTTTGGTCTTCATAAGCAACGAATGCTAAACCCTTCGATTTGCCAGTTCCCTTGTCTCGAACAAGGTTGACATCAACAACTTCACCGAGAACAGACAGTTTATACTTCAAGGGGGAATTCATAAAAAACAAATCCGAATCTGTTGAATCTTAACAGAAATCCATCCTCATCAATTCAAAATCCCGCACTTACTGGGCGAAGACGGCGAGGAGATCACCTTCGGTGAGGTAGTCAGAGATACAAAGATCCGCTTCCTTCGAATAGCGTCAATGGATTCATCCTTCAACTTCCCCTCTCCCGCGCTCTGCGATTCCTGGACACAAAGGTAAGATTGCTGAGACTGAGAACCCCTCGAATTGAAATTCGTTGACGACAGTGTGTGCCTCCGGTATCTCGAACGGCCCGTTAAAGGCCCAAGTATCGTACGGACGTTCGAGTTTGCATTTTTAATTTTTATTTAGAAAAATCCAAAAAAAATAATAAACACCCAACTTTTATTTTTATCAAATAAATATTAAATTTTTTAAATAAGTTAAAAAACATTAAATTTTTTAAATGATCTAAAAAAATACATAATACATAACTTTTATATAATTATCAAAAAAATATTAAACTTATTAAATGATTAAAAAAAATACAAAAACTATATATGATTATAAAAAAAATTAACGATAATAATTTGACGTGTTTATATTTTTTTATGTTATGTTAGATAATTTGTTTATTTTGATAATCATAAAAAAATTAAATATATTTTTTTGATAAATTTAAAAAAATTAATATTTATTTGATAAAGTAAAAAATTTAATTTTTTTTTTTTGAAATTTTTCATTTTATTTTGATGATATTTCATCATATTAATTGGGCTTTCTAAAGCATAGAATACCTACCAACCAATTGCAATCAAACCCTTAAAACCAAACCAAATCAAACACTGGTCGACCGTACATTAGTAGTAATTTAGATTCACGTATATTTACAAACAGCAGAGAGAGAGAGAGAGACCGGGAAGCAACAATAAAACACGTGCATCTTTTGAAACGGATTGAAGTTTGAACACAGACTCTGCGTCTATTACTTACATACATATACAAGAAAGTGGTTTCTTCTTCTTTTCTTCTTCTTCACCTGACGTGGCAGTCAAAGGGAGAAGAAGCAAAGACGTGATCTGGAACGACCAAAGGCAGTTTCTCGATGAACATGAAGAGCCGTTTCTGATTCTCTCTGGTGATTGCTGAGAGTTCAGATGTGTCTGTTTTCTCCATTAACATCCATAGCTCTCCTGAATTTACCCTCTTTAGGCTGTCCCGGCAGAATGGGCACGACTTCGACCGCCCTCTCCTGCGTTATATTACAACCGAATTCACATCCAACAGCAATAGCCTTTCATTTTAACAAATAATTGGATCATAGATTACAAGAGAGGAGGTAAAAGATTAGAACTTTAAATCACGTTTCGATAAACCATACACGGATCAGAAGCACGCAATATCAAAGAACACTACTTTGTGCTTTGTGGTTCAGTTAACAAACGGAAAGGTCGCCCATTTACATGTAGATGGATGCTTTTTGAATGAATCGGTGGATGGGTGGATTGGTAGTTAGGCCAATAAAACCATGGTTTCCAAATATAGAAGCCTATCTACGCATTACCCTAAACCCTAAAACGACTTACCAGTCGCGGTAACAATTGATGCACAAAGAATGAGTGCAGTTGGGGAGGACGACCATGCTGCCGTTCATCTCCATGCAAATCCCGCATTCCTCTTCTCTTTCGATGTCTATCTCCGAGAGCCTACCCCTTTCTATCTCGTCTTTCCTTCTGTACCTCATATTGCAAACCTCTTTCTGCTTTCGGTCTTCCAGATCGGTAATACCCATCTGTAGTTGTAACAACGACGGAAATATCACGGCTGTTCACAAGAAAAAAACCAAGCCCCCGTAAGCACCACAAAACGAAATCAACCTCGTTCACTTTCTCTGCAGTAAAGCCATACCGTAGAACTCTCTGATACTGGCTTTTCTTTCATAAACCGACATTGTGGTCTTCCCATCTGCATAGGTCTGAATAACATACACATTCACATTGATGAAAATAAACCAGGAATAGAACAGAAAGGGATGGATGGGATCAACAAATGTACCATGTAAATAAGAATTCTGAGAAGACCGAGGGCACCGGCGAGGTGACAGTCGGTCCACTGGACAAGAAAAAGGAAGAACTGGGCAGCTGGACTATACGATAGTCTCATCTGAACGCGTGCCCCATCCTTGTCCCGTGGATGATCTAAAGCGCTGTTGAATCAAAACCCAACACACGCACACACATTCTTAACATCAGCATCATAACACTATCATCATGACTAAGGATGAATGCATGCACATACACATACACATACGCATACGGAATCTCTGTTTCACGCATCAATCAGCTCAAAATATAGCATAAGTTCAAACATTAGCCACTTCATCAACAAGCACACGTAACGTTCTCAGTTCCGAGAACCGATCAGTTCAAAGTCCAAACACGTAACTCTGTCTACTTCAACAAAAACTCTGAGAACACACTACTTCACCATCATTGATCAGATCCGAAATCTCAGGAACAAAGTAAACTTCTATGCAAATATATATGATGAAAAACCCTATGGCAACGAACAATTGTGGCCCTAGACAATCAAACAAAAGAATCTGAAAGCTGAGAGAGAGAGTCTCCATAGATTTCACTGCCAACAAAAAGATAATCCACCATACCATCATATCTCACATGCACGCCAAACAATCATTCAGACGAAACACAAGAGATGTCGAATAGCGGGGAAAATTTTAAGGCAAAATCTCGTCTTGATCGACGAGAACAACTTACGACCGCAGAAAAATCGAAACTTGAGCCCAAAAACAAAGGAAGTCAAGATTTTTTTTCCCCAAGAATTTGAAAATTAAACTGAGAAGAGAAGGGTTTACAGTGTATTAGCGTGTTGGATATCGGCTTCGAGAGCTTTCAGGGAATCCTTGAACGACAATTTGGCCATCGCATGGAAATTCCCCGGAAAATAATTCCCATCAAACAAACACAGATTCCGGCAAGCAAATTTTCAAAAGCATCGAACCCACAAAAAGAAAACAAGGATGAAAGCAAGGAAAAAAGTTTAGTGCTTGCTTCTCCTTTAACTCTCAGATATTTCGTCCAATCCGATAATCATGATGACGAGAGAGAGGGAGAGGGGTATTTTCGTAAGTTTCATCGCCTCGATAATCCCTTCAGCGCATCAGTTACGATTATCAACGTTGCTTTTTCAAGAAAAGACGCGAAGTGGTTACGCGAATGACACTTTTACCCTTGATCGGCAGTATTGAGAGAGTAAACTAAACTACTGCTCGGAGCGGGGTTTGCTCTCCTGTTACTAACATACCTGTATCGTTCTTGTGTATTCCAATTAGATACTGCCACGTGGAATATAACTAAATATCTAAATAAAATTATCATTTGTCGCCCCTAAATCATCAATATTCAATATTTGTGTAATAGCGTATGTATGGATTGACAAACATCAAGAGACCGCCGATAGTGCCAAATTTCAAGAAATTAATGCATCTTATGTTATCTAATAGCCTAAGAAAGGAACATATTCAAATCAAATATGAAATTATATACTCAGAACGAATTAATGAAAAATCAATTGAAAACAAATCTAATAACGACTTACATCATATTACCATTTATAGGATTGTATATTAAAATGTACTGTGTATACCTAACATATTGAGATCATAATATATAAATATAGTGTACTACAATATTTTTAAAAAAATATATGCATGTAGATTTGGTCTACATATACACACGCATAGATATTTATAATAGATATGATTGAATGAATAAAGATACGGGTAGACGGTGTTAGATATGCACGTGTACGTTGTGAACGGGCGATGATGTTTATGGGTGCGAGCGATACAGGAGAGATTGATTACATTGGACAATTATTATATCCTTAAAAGGGATCAAACCTTATCCCGTTGCATTTTCACGTACGTACGTGAGAAAAAAGACATAATTGGACCGTACTCCCAAGATATTTTCTAAACCGGGACATAAAATAAAGAAAATATCTAATCAAAGTTATACATTATTTTAACATTCTACCCTTATTAGAATTTGTAATGATTAATGGATATAATTTTATATTAGATCACCTCACCGGTAAAGATCTTCAGGAAAATGATTTTATCTTCGAATGTTGTGTAAGATATTTTCGGGGATTTCTCCATATTCAAGTAAAAATAAAAGATATTATTATAATCTTGTTAGATTGTATAGTGAACAAGTCATACACACATAATTAGATAATAACGAACAAATGAGTACTAAATTTAATATATCTAAATAAGAATAAAAAAAAGTTGAAACGGAAATAAGTTGCATTTTTTTCTTGCTTAAAACACGGATTCCAATACGACAAAAACAAAATATACAAAATTTCATTATATATAATATATGACTCTAATTTTAAAAGATATTTTTTAATAATAAAAAAGAAATACCTGGGAAAATAAGGGAAAAAATCAGGTCCATAAAATGAAATTAGCTGCCTTAGTAGCCTTTCACAGGGTTAGATAGGCCGGTCCACAAAAAATTTGGGTTTGAAACATAAAATTCAAGCCCGTTCTGGTTGGGTCAACGAGTCTGTAGATTTTTAATTTTCTTATAAAAACACAGTATATATCTTTTAAAATGAAATGAAATACAAAATCCTTTACCAAAAAAAAAACTCAGAATCGCCAGTCTAACAAAATATTTTATATTTATTATCTTCTTTCGTTTTTCTAATACTGTAATATAGTTAATTAATAATATTAATATTATTATAAAATATAAAAACACTACAATTTTTTAAACTAAAATTTAGATTACGAAAAATACAATTATAAATTGAAAAGGGAAACAATATCAGATTTGTAAGCGAAGAGTAGCGGATACGGATTCCACGTCATAAAAATAAAAAATTGAAAAAAAAAATATGCGGTCCATAATCAGACTAAGCCACGGAATAAACGGATTTGTAAGGATCAGACTTTACAATATATACATTATTTGAATAAGAAAAGGTCGGTCCAAATCTATCTGATTGCGCGTGGATTTAAATTAATCCGCAATCGAATTCACGGACATGGGAAAGACAACGAAACATCAAACACGACAGTATGGCAATGGCGCAAGTTAAGAACCACTTCGAATTGATGTTCTGTATTGGAGTTCTACGTAACGGGGAATAATGAAACCTCTGACTGGCCCAGAGGCTATTGCCTTTTTTTGTTGGTGGGCTTTTTGAGAAGTTAATTCAGAGCCCATTTGATTTGAGGTTCTCGCACGTGCGTCACGTGACCTTCGTAGGTGGATAATTTGCCACGTCTTTGCTTCTCCCGCCACCCTCTGAACCTCTTGAGATTCCAAGAATACCCTCCTCCCTCACCCCCAGCGCATTAAAATGACTGCCGTACAATATTCAAATCAAACCGGAAATATAATTTAACTTTTGGTCGGGATTAAATAATTCGATGTGATAATATTGGCCCAACAAAAAATAGGGGTGATTTTTTTTTAATTGGGGGGCATAACAGTCAAGTCACGGTGGTTACAAAAAGTCCCTTTTTTTTTGTGAAGTTCAACGGTTCATCAAGAACACGGGTTTTATATTGACGTCTCTTTCCGTCGTCTTCGAAACCAAAAGGCCAACTCTGTCCGATTCGATTCGATTCCATTCCATTCGTCTTCTTGTTGTCTCCTCGACTCCAATGGACTCAGCCAGAACCAAAAGAAGGAGGCAACCAGATTTTGTAATCGCCAGAGATACAGATTCCGAGGCAAGCTCCTCTGACGATGACGAAGAAGAAGAAGAGGCTTTTGAAGAATCTGAACCCTACGAAAATGGAAGGGAAACTGAATTGGGACTCTCGGCGAAGAAGACGAAGAAAGTACCCATTACCGTTAAGCTCAAGAAAGTTTGCAAAGTAACAATCTTTAAAACCCTAGCTTTGTAAATTGTAATACTGCTTTTCAGCGCATTGATGTCGAGCATTATGCCCTGTTTTTTTTTGGGCGTTCGAGTTCATGTTTAACGCCTCTTCGCGAGGAGTCTTAGTCTAAAGCGTATCCAATGATATGGGTTCAAAGAATCTTGAGTTTTGTTTCCCTCTCTAAGTTCATGAGTTCATCAAACAACGTGTTCCAGTTAACTTCATGATTTTGATTTTGGACTTTAGTCCAAATGTTTGATTCTGTCTGGTTTTGAAGGTCTGTAAGCAGGCTGGTCATGAAGCCGGATTTAGAGGGGCTACATATATTGATTGTCCCATGAAACCTTGCTTCTTATGCAAAATGCCTGGTAAAGTCTTGTCTGTTTGGACTTGGGTCTTGCTTCTGTTTTGATTGCTTACTTCTTGATGTCTACATGTGTTCAACACTGTTTTTATATGTGTGACCTGATTACTGTTCTGTTGCATTGATCATCAAAGGCCACACCACGATGACATGTCCCCATAGAGTCACCACCGAGCACGGAGTAATCCCGGCCTCCCACCGGAATACCAAGAATCCGATCGAGCTTGTGTTTAGACGCCAACTTCAATCGAGAATACCCCCTGTAAGCTTGTTATGTTCTATCGTATTTTGGTGCCTGAGGGTATTTGTTTTTGTTTGCTTTTATTTCATTTGGGTAAATGGTATTTACCTTACAATGTAGATCAAGCCGGAATTTGTGATCCCAGATCAGATACATTGCGGAGTTTTACGATACCATAGCAGACGAGTTACATGTGTGGAGTTCCATCCAACTAAGAACCACATTCTTTTGTCTGGAGATAAGGTTTAACTCTCTTTAACGAGGGAAAATACCAATCATATGGTTTCTCCAGTCTATTTTCAGTTGCTAGTGGGTTATCTTATTGTTTCTCGCTCTGACCACCTTTTGGTTTGTCATGGAAGAAAGGGCAAGTTGGAGTCTGGGATTTTGGTAGAGTATATGAGAAGATCACGTATGGAAACATACACTTCATACAAGTTAACAACATGAAGTGAGCTTATGTTCCCTTGTACTCAATTTCTAGTTGAGTCTGTAATAATTGTCTGGTGAATCCATGCGTCTAATGTTTGGGACAAAAGCTTGTTTCTACTGCTGAGCAAAAGCCATTGCTTCCTTCTTGTTGTTCTTCGTCGATTCAGGTTTAGCCCCACGAATAATGATATGGTATACACTGCGGCCTCTGATGGAACTGTTGGTTACACCGATCTGGAGACTGGAATCTCGTTAACCTTGCTTAATCTCAATCCTGATGGATGGCAGGTCGCCCCGTTGCGTTGTTTCTCTCATTTTCGTCTATGTATACCCTGAAGCAAACTGATCTATGTTTTTGACGAAACAACGGATACGGCTTATGATATATTTTGTAGGGTCCAAGCACTTGGAAAATGCTATACGGTATGGATATTAATTCAGAGAAAGGTGTGGTGCTTGTTGCTGACAATTTCGGTTTTCTTCACCTGTAAGTGATTTTTTAGTTTTAACTGTTTATGCCCTAGCTTCTTTGCTGTTGCTAGAATTTGTGGTAACTTTTTTTTTTCATGATTGTGTGCAGGGTGGATCATCGAACCCACTGCAGAGTTGGTGAGCCGATTTTGATACACAAGCAAGGAAGCAAAGTTGTCGGTCTTGACTGCAACCCAGTTCACACAGAGCTGCTTCTGAGTTGTGGGAACGATCATTTTGTAAGATAGAAATATAAACCTTATATCAAATATATATTCATGTTGGTTTCATCTCGACCACCGTCACCACATAAGCGTATGACTGCTCTAGATTTGCATCCCGCCATTTTGCAACTACCGGAAAATCAGGACTTATGTATGTGTGGCCATTGATGAATTTTCCTATGGATGGCAGAACTTTCGACTCCTATATTGTCTTGTTTGGAACCAAATTATGATTCATGTAGATTAGATAACAAACTGGATTGTACCAGAAAGAGTTTTCTTGCCTTTCTGTGGTTTTAATTCATCGTGTCTTTGTGGTTCTCAGGCACGGATTTGGGATATGCGTAGACTACAACCAGGGGGTTCCCTTCATGAACTTGCGCACAGAAGAGTTGTCAACTCTGCTTATTTCTCTCGTGTGTCGGGTACAAAAATCCTCACGACGTCTCAGGACAACCGTATACGAGTATGGGATTCTATCTTTGGTAATTTGGATTTGCCGAGCAGAGAGATTGTTCACAGTCACGATTTCAATCGGCATCTGACGCCTTTCAAAGCTGAGTGGGATCCTAAGGTTATACCTTTCTTCTCTCTTTAAGGGTACCTTTTCATCGATTTAAATCTTTGTAAATATTGCTCTGAAGAACCAAATATTGTTGTGCAGGATCCATCTGAGTCCCTTGTTGTCATTGGTCGTTACATAAGTGAAAACTACAATGGTGCTGCTCTTCATCCGATTGATTTCATAGATGTGAGCACTGGGCAACTAGTTGCAGAGGTTATGGATCCAAACATCACAACTATCAGTCCGGTCACCAAGTTACATCCGTACGATGATGTTTTGGTTTCCGGAAGTTCAAGGTTTGAGAATCTGTTCGTTTATTGTTTCATAACAGTTTGCAACAAAACTCAAGCGGCCATTGAAAATTTTTTGCCTTCTTCCAGGGCTGCAAGCAAACCATGTCTTGTCAAAACACCTGATGAACAAACTAGTCTAGCTATTTAAGCTTTTAGATATAGCAGCTGCCAGTGCCACCAAAATTGATATAGGTCAACTTTGTGGGCATTGATGGAAATCAGAACCCAAGAACCAAACTTTATAGTCTGTCTCTCATGTGTGTGGCTTTGGTTTGACTGACAGGTCGCTTTTCATCTGGAAGCCAAAGGAAAAAACAGAGATGGTTGAAGGGAAGAAGGACCAAAAGATTGTAACGTGTGGAGGAGGAGGAGATGGCAAGAAGAAGGGGAAAGGAAAGCGGAAGCCGGGTAGTGATGAAGATGACTCAGACGACGATATGTTTAGCTCTAAAGGCAAAAGCATCAAAGTTCAGAAGTCCCGAATCAAAGTAACTAAGAGCAATGGGAAGGCAAAACAGAGACAGGGATGAAGAAGGGGAAGGTTGTGTCTGTTTTTCAAGTTTTCTTGTACAGGTTACTAGGCTAGTTTTATGCCTATCATGCCCTGACTGACCCAGTTGGCAGCTTTCCCTGTTTTGCAACTAGACGAGATTTTCGGGTTTTTGGTTTTAGGTACCTCCGGCTCTGTCATCTCATGTGGTGTGTGTGCATACGCCAGTGGGATAGATTGTCTGGTCAGGCTGCAACTCCTTGAATGTTAAGGTTAATGCTATGTATTATATTATCTTGATTTACTTTTTTTTATGTATACACATATATACACCCACCACATTGATATTTGTCTAAATGAAAGGGAATGTAAATTCCATATCTCATGGCACCAATCGAATCCAGGGTCGTAAGTCTCCTAAACCTGAATCTATCAGCTCTGTCTCGTGTCCCCAGAAGCTTGAAAGGGCATCTGAATCCAAGAGTCTCTGTCGGAACAATCTCCACGATCTCATCCCCACACACCAGAAATCTTCTGTCCAACATAGTTGTCTTAGTACCTTGCACCAAGCCAAATCACCTTCCATGAAAACCCCAAATCCCATCATGTGCTTTGCCACTGGCCGCCGCATATATATGCTGCTCTGCAGCCGACCCGTCGATGTAACTTTCTTCCCAGTGGCAGCACTCTCTCGCCCCTCCAAACAGATGGGGGAGAGAGGCGGACTGAGCTTCACGCTGCCGGGCTACTTTTGAAATACACTTTTGTTCATCGAGTGGCTCTCTATAGCAATCCCGGTTTCTTAGGCAACAAGCAATTGTCTAAACCGGTCGTAAACCGGGCCTATCCGCTTTGGTTTTCAATGCAGCTAGGAAGATGGGATAGTGTTTTATAGTTTCGTTTTCCTTTGGGATCGCTCATGGATGCGATGCATCCATACATGTGAATTTGGTTCGACTTCGGCCTGGTCGATTTATCGTGGAACATTTGTTTGGTACATCTCATTCTCTTTGTCCCGACGACACTGAATACCTAACGCTGCTCTGTTTCAAGCTTTCAACGGGAACCCATGTTTTGTGGCAGAGCCACAATTTTCCTCGTTAATAACATAATATTCTAATGGATAATTTAATTCTTTATTTTAAAGCCCTTTGTTTTATGCCACTAATTATTACGCTACGTACTTTGGCTTAGATAAATGAAATATAATAAACATATAATAAATACCCTTTTTAGATCGCCTCATCCAATGCATCTCGGACCAAACCTTTCCTGTGTTATCAAATACAAATTGTTTTCTAGGTGGGGGGGGTCTCAGAGAAAAAACGGCATGGAGTTTTGTCTTCCGTGTTGAAAACGTTGTTCTCTCCAGAAAGAGGGGTCCATTCGTAAATTAACAAAATAATTGCCCTTGAATGGAAATAAATTAAGCATCAAGGATGAAATCATAAACTATAGTTCCAATTCTGCAAATTAGTACAACTTTCAAGGGAAAAGTTCGTATATTTCGCCGGCGACGGAGGGTGACCGCTCCGACGAAGAACAAATCCCTAGAAATGGCGGAGAAACTGGCGCCGGAGAAGCGACACAATTTCATCCATAATGGTTCCTATTTCTGTCTCTTTGTCTCCCTTTCTCGCTATGTTTGTCTAGTTTCGGGTTTCTTTAGCTAGGGACCGAAGAGATTTGATCGATTATGTTCTTCGGTCACCGACGTTTTAGGGCAAAAGGTCTTTGAGTGGGATCAAACCCTAGAAGAGGCTAATATTTACATAACTTTGCCGCAAAATGTTCATTCGAAGCTGTTCTACTGCAAAATCGAGCCGAAGCATCTCGAAGTTGGCATCAAAGGCAACCCTCCTTATCTCAATGTCGGTTTCACGATTTTCGTTTAGCCTTTGGCTGGTTTTCATCTCTCAATTTCGCCATGTGATTTAACCCTACTTGTTTGCCGTGTGGTTGAAAATTTTCTACTTTCAGCACGATCTCAGTGGACCTGTGAAGACAGATTGCTCGTTCTGGACTTTAGGTACTCCTTTTTTTCTTGGTTCTATTTGATGCACAGTGCAGAAGTGCTGAATTTTGGCCTGTCTTTCAATCTTTAACAGCACAGGCCACATATTCTATCCACCACCCATCTTTCTATTCCTAGTCTTACGATTAATATCTAACAAAACTGACGAAGGTTTATTGAATCTCCTGGTTATCAAAAAATATATATATATCTAACAAAACTTCTACTCTTTATTTGGTAGAGGATGATATAATGCACATTACGCTGCAGAAGAGGGAGAAAGGCCAGACATGGTCATCGCCGATACTTGGACAAGGTCAGTTGGATCCTTACTCCACTGATCTCGAGCAGAAACGCCTCATGCTTCAAAGGTTTCAAGAAGAGGTGAGTTATATGTTACATCCAGTCAGTTTGGATAGTCACTAGTGATTCATGATTTCCATGGAAATGTGGTTCTGCTTTTGTTTGTGTTTCTTGTTCGATGCCTCTTGGTAATCTGATTAATCTTTAAACCAAAATCTTAGGCTTCAAGTCCTGGATAGGATTAGTGTTAATGTGCTACAGATTCTGCCATTTGGAATTTGGATGACTCGACGTTTAATCAGCAAAGACTTCTTATTTCGTTTTTTGTATGTCTCCAAATTGTAAGAAGTTATCTTCGCTTCAAATAGAAACACTCTACGTAACACATGCGTGACTTAATCTCGGGTCGTAGAGCTGTCACACGTAAGCATGACTATGACTATGACCAGATTGTCCTCAAGTGGGAGGCCTTTAGTTTTAGGACTACGTTATATGGTAAACTATGCCCATGAAATTGCTCACCTTAATCTTCTAGCCCTTAACTTGTTTGGATAGAACTGTAGAGATGTCCGTACGCATATGCATACACTGTTTCAACCTGTTAGTTTGGTTTTTCTTTGGGATTGATGTTCGATCTGTGTTTGCAGAACCCTGGTTTCGACTTCTCGCAAGCTCAGTTTTCAGGCAACTGTCCAGATCCAAGGACCTTCATGGGTGGTATTTGATCTACTTGTCTGTCGGATCGTAGTTAACAAAAAAAAACGCCCTTAGTTCTCATAAATATAACATGACTCGAGTCCTAGTGGGTTTACTCAGGCGGAGTAAGGGTGTCTGATACTGATTCATACAGTGTTTCATAGCGTTTATATTCTAATTGTGGGTTGTGGCATGGGAATGGAACTGTGCTCTACATTTGTTTTTATTAGTATTTAGTATATAATTCGCAGATGCCGTTGCCATTGAGGTTACTGAGCAGACAAAGTCTTCTATAAGAGGGAATCACATATTTGTTTGGAATGTAGAAAGTGAAAGATGAGATAGACAGAGGAGCAGGAAGAAGCAATGTAAAAAGCTTTTTGCAGATGTGGAAATGGCAATCACGGGATGGGAGCGAGGAGAGGAGGAACCCGTGAATAGATTTAGGGCAGATGGCTGACTATGAATATTATGCTCAAAAACATTGATTAGGACATCGACATGGATGATGAATTGATGATGATGATGATGATGGAATGTTGGATCCATGTTTTGAAGGAAGGATAGCATCATCATCATAATTGTGAAATATTGTTTAGTGTAGTATTACGAATAGATAAGGAATCACAATGTGAGACGTGGAACCCTCTGCTCGATTTCGAATAACACCATACAAGAATCTCTATCTCTCGGAAAGGTCCTTGACATGAGGAAAAACCCACTTTGTTTTGGTTGGCGTGTACATGGATATGATAGAACAAACGTTAATTTATGATGGGTATGTGTCCACGATCCATTGCAAAAACATAATGAGAGGACTCATATGATAGAATAATCACACCAATAGTCAACCATATATATATAATATGATTTGTTTTATATTTGGTGACGAGAGACCAACTCCATCTTGTGCATTTCCTATTGGCTATTGATATCTATCTTAGCTGTTTTCTTAAAAATTGTTTTATGGGGTAAACGATTCATTGACATTGAATATATAAGTTCGGCATCAAAGCCGGTTAAAGCTCACACGTGGCAACAATGGTGTCATTTATTATTATTATTATTATTATTATTATTATTATTATTATTATTATTATTATTATTATTATTATATCGTATCACCTAAAATATGAAAATCGCTCAATTAATTTAATAGTCAATGTTTGAGATGGATGTAAGCTAATTCGATGAACTTGATCTGACCCCCCCATGTGTGGCATGAAAGCGGACCAGTCTATAGATGGTCTACGTTTCGTGAGATGATAACATGAGCACATATTCTCTCTCTCTTTATAAGGACCAATGTGTTTCACAACTCCACCTTCATTCACATCTCGTTCTTTGTTTCTTCTTCTTCATCTTTACCACCAAACAAAACGGAAAACAATGTCGGAGAAGTTCAGAGTATGTTTCTGCTGCAGCAGAAGCTTCAAGGTGAGAGCAAGTGAACCACCGGAAGACATACAAAGACTGTTCCGTGAGTACTCAGACAACGGCAGCATGTCCGCCGACCATCTGCTCCGTTTCGTGAACCAAGTCCAGGGAGAAGGACAGGCCGGTCTGGACTACGCCACGGAAGTCTTCCACAGACTCAAACACCACGACGTTTTTCACCTCCACCACCGCGGGCTCCACCTCCGAGGTTTCTACCGTTATCTCCTCCACGATGTCAACTCTCCTCTCCCTCTGTCCCGCCACGTATGATCTAATCCTCTTTCATGCTTCAAATCTATGGCGTTTCTGTTTTGGAGTATTGATCATGATTTGGTGAAATGGGTGTCTTCAGGTTCACCACGACATGACTGCCCCCATGTCGCATTACTTCATATACACGGGTCATAACTCCTACTTGACCGGAAACCAGCTTAACAGCAGAAGCAGCTCTGAACCGATAGCCGAGGCTCTTCGAAGAGGCGTACGAGTCATCGAGCTGGACTTATGGCCTGATCCTTCCGGCAATGGCGTTGATGTCCGTCATGGCGGGTCTGTACATTTCTTCATCTAGATAGATAGATAGGGAGAGAGAGAGAGAGATCTTCGTGTTCCATGCATGCAGTTCTTAACTGTAGAAGTTCCCTTCGTTTGACATCTCTCAGGACGCTAACTAGCCACGAAGATCTGCAGAAATGTTTAAACGCGATAAAGGAAAACGCGTTTGATACATCGGAGTACCCAGTTGTGATCACTTTCGAGGATCATCTGACCCGAAATCTTCAGAGAAAAGTTGTCAAGGTGACCTGTTTGTCCCCCCCACGCATCTAATCATTTAGTTTTTCCATGTAAAATAAAAAAAAGCTGCAGACTTTTGCTTGTAAAATGTGATTAGATGGTCAGAAAGACGTTCAAGGGAACGCTGTTTCGGTGTGGCCAGGAAAATCCAATGTGTTTTCCTTCACCAGAAGCACTCAAGAAGAAGATTCTGATCTCAACCAAACCACCAAAGGAATATATGCAGAGCCAAACCGTCCAGAGTACAACCGCTCCTTGGGGGGACAAAGCAGCTGGACCGGTAAGAATACAAATGATGAAATATCCGGTTTTATGAAATTCTCGTGAGAGTTTTTCCCATGAGTTGTGACAGAATCTAGCTGTCGTGGAAGAAAAGATTCAAGAAGAAGATGAGGAGAGTGCAGCTGTTGAATACAGGGATCTGATCACGATCCACGCGTGCAAACGTGGTGATCTGAAGAGCTGCCTGAGCGGTGATCCAAGCCGGGCCATACGGATAAGCATGAGCGAGCTGTGGCTCGAGACTCTGGTCAAAACTCGTGCAACTGACTTAGTCAGGTGATTTAACCAATGACTGTCGAGGTTTTCTCATTTCTGACAGGCTGCTAAAGAGAAAAACAAAAACCCTAGAGAAGAATCATTTTTGTTCCTTATACATTTAGCTTTCTTTAAAACGAAAACAACCCCTGGTTCCAAAAACATAGCTTGCCATGGTTGTCCAAAACTGTGAGGACCAGTCTCTATGCAGTGTCTGGACGCATGTCGCGACAGATTCCAGACAGTATATTCTTGGAATAGTCGTAAGCTTTTTACAGTTTTCTTGAGGGTTTGAGCCGAGAATTCTGTGGTTTGAAGGTTCACGCAGAAGAACATGCTGAGGATATTTCCAAAGACAACACGTATTGACTCATCCAACTACGACCCTCTGGTGGGATGGACGCATGGTGCTCAAATGGTGGCCTTCAATATGCAGGTTTTAGCTCTTCTCTTTCTGATAATGCGTAGATTTGAACACGAAAAAGCATATTATAATTCGATGTCAAATGAGATATAGGGTTATGGGAAGCACCTGTGGATAATGCAAGGAATGTTCAGAGCAAACGGAGGATGCGGCTACCTGAAAAAGCCCGACATTTTGCTCTCCACTGGTCCTGGAGGTGAAGTCTTTGACCCTCGTCAACCACTTCACGTCAAGACCACTCTCAAGGTTGTTTGTTTTTCAGACATTTCAATCTCGTTTCTTGCGCAGCAAGAAATGAAAAAGAAAAGATCTTTAGCTTTGTAATGTGACAGGTGAAGATCTACACGGGGGAAGGATGGAGTCTGGATTTTCCCCGACATCACTTTGACCAGTACTCTCCACCAGATTTCTTCGTGAAGGCAAGTTTTTTTTTTCTCTGAACAAAAACTCTCTCGATCAGATCGACCCACATCCGAAAATTCAACTGACAATGGTATCCTTAAATGGGTTTCAGATCGGAATAGCAGGTGTTCCGAGGGACACGGTGAGTTACAGAACAGAAACAGAGATAGACGAATGGTTTCCGGTGTGGAACCAGGAGTTTCTGTTCCAGTTGACTGTTCCTGAACTGGGGCTTCTATGGATCATCGTCCAAGATTACGACAGCAACACCCAGAATGACTTCGCCGGCCAGATATGCCTGCCTCTGTCCGAACTCAGATCCGGCTTCCGCTCCGTCCGCCTCCACGACCGCTCCGGGAAAGCTTACGATCACGCCAGGCTGCTCGTCCGATTCGCGTTTGACCCTCCTCAAGCATTTCAGATCCCCTAGTTTTCCTTATTCCAGATTTCATCTGTCGCCAGTGTACTCTATAGATGGTGAATAACAACCTCTGTATATATATCATTACACTATCAGATATAATTATAGAATTCATCACCAACAGTTTATTTATTATCAACACATTGTACATACATGCCACGGAAAAAATATATATAAATCGATTACTCATCAGTTGAACTGCTAAACGAATCTGCGATGAGGTGAATCAAAGAACCTTTCCCCTACCATTTTATTTTCTTTTGTTATAAACAACGATATTATCAGATTAGCATCAATCTCTGGATATTCTATCCCCGTCTTTGTCTGCTTCTTGTCGAACCAATGATTGAAAGAAACTGGTTAATGATGTTTTTTTAAGGGTGGCCGGTGGTGACTCACGCTACGCTCTGTTCTGTCTCCATGAATGACTGCTCCATCCAAACCCGACCAAGTCTCATTTCCGAGGGCTCTTTCACTAGGGGATCGACCCATGAAACATCGGGCTCGTCCAGACCAACCGGCTCAGCTAGCTGTCTGGTTCCACCACCGACCCTGAAACCAAAAGAAGCAGAGCGTCCGAACTTCTGCATGTCATCTCCATGGACGCTCCAGTCGAGTTTTCCGTCAGGGGAGCCCCAGTCATCCATGCAGGTCGATATCGCAGAAGGAATAGCCGAATGGCAGCTCAGGTCCATGAAGCTTTGGCTTCTTTTGGCGAATGCGTCCTCTCCAGAAGCAGGTAGATCCCTCTGAGATGAAGACTTTGCCCCGATGGGAGACGTGGTAAGGCTGTTGGATGTGGCATAGCTGGAATATAGCTGCGGGTTAAAGGCGCTACTGCGTCTGATCTGCAAGCCCGAGGTGTCATCAGGTCCAAACACGTCGCTCAAGCTTGTCTGGTTTGTTCCTCCAGCAAGCTTGTTCAAGCTCGTTGCTTTTATATCACCCGACAAAGGTGAAGAAGCAGAGGACATGGCAGTCGTATTCCAGGGAGTTGGAGAGGAAAGACCGAGAATAGCGTCAGAGAAATCAATCTCTTTGGCGTTAATCGTTGATTTCAATCTGCTACGAGGCAGCTGCAATGTAGGAGGGACGATGTTAGGGAAGTTGACCCACGTTTTCCCGCCAATCGGAGAGGGAACGGTGTTAGGACTCAACGGAGGAGTTGTGGATGAGCCGAAACCGAGAGGGCTGATCGGTCCATTGTCGAAAGAGTAGGCAGAATTACAGGACGAGAAGGATGATCGTGGGGAAGGAACACCCGAGCCAGTGGACGGGTACAGAGGCCGTAGCTCTTCAGGCTTGTGAGCAAAGAAACAGACCCGCCTCTTGCAATTCATCTCATCCTTGCAGAGACGAGTTCGATACTGAGAAGGGTGAAGCCAACACTCGAAGATCCCATGAGCGTACTCGCAGGAATCGCCCCTGCAACAATACCCTTTCCTGAATTCAGGACAAGGGACGCAGCTGTACTGGTACTTCCTCGGATCGCGCCTCCTGGCATTCTCGCCCGGATGAACAAAGGGGCACTCCGTCCAGTCGTGTGAGTAAGCTCTGGAGCAGGGCTTGATCTTGAATGCATACATCCGAAACTCATCTGTTCCATATATACCGCTATTGATATCAGGAAGCGTGGGATCAACCGGATATTCCTTCTTCTCAGATGCCTCCCTCTGTTCATCTCGGTCTTCCAATTCCATCAGATCGTGCCCGCCATTCAACAAACGCTCAAGAATCTTCTTCCTTGAACTGAAAACAGGATTTAAAGACGGGAAAATCACGTCAACGGGCTTGTTACCGTTGGCATCAGGGGAATTAGCGTCAGCACCAGCGTTGAGCAGAAGGCTAACGACGTCAGGGCTGTTTGCAGAGAAACCAGAGACCGCGCAGTGAAGAGCAGTAGCGGCATCAGAGCCGCAAGAGCGATTAATGTCCACACGACCGCTTCTGATGATATAATCCACCATTTCTTTGCTTCCAAACAAGGAAGCTATCATGAGAGGCGTTCTCGCATCGAACCCCATCTCCCTTGAGCCGATTCTCCGGCCATACCACGAACTCGATCGATCAATGTTGTCGAGACCCTCTTGCTCGAGGAGGGAAATGAAGCCATTGAGATCATTGCAGGCTGACAACTCCAGCAGAAGAGATAACTCGAGGTGAGGCAGCTCAGCTTCTCCCATGGCAAATATCGTATCGCAGAGAGATATTTGAAATCCAGAGACAAGCTACGAATGTTTTCTTTGTCTTGTCCTGAGGAAAAGGCAAAGAGATAAACATATATACGACGCAGATTAGGAACTGAAGAAACGATCAAAACCCGCCTATCCAACAGAAATGAACAAATGTATGAAGAATTACAAGGGGGGAGGGGGAGAGGATGAAAAGTTTGTTACTTTGGATGTAAATTTCCCAACTTTAAACAACCGAACGAAAAATTAAACAACACTAACCAACCCATGATTAACCATTTGTGAAAGCCAAATCATGGAAAATTTCTAAAACAGAAAACATGTGAAGAACCGACAAAACAAACACAGACTGATGCTCCACCTCATCTTCCTGCGCTTTCCCGTAGGCCAAGCGACAAAACCAAACTCGGTAATAAACCCGAAAAGGGAAATAAAAAAAAAAACAGGTACGGACAACGAATTACGCAGCAAAACGCATACCCAGAATCTGATGGACGAAGATACGAGACACCCGAATCCCAAAGTTCGTCCTTTTATGGCATTTTCTCATCAACCAAACAACAAACAAGGGAAAAGAGGAGAAACGCCTTTTAGGAAACCATGGAATCCGTCTGTCTCTCTCTCCCACCACCGCCCTTCACTTCACTTCCTCTTTTCCTGTCCAAAATTGAAATTGGAGGAAGTCTCCAAAAACGCAAATATCTTCCTTGAAACCAATGCGAAGCGAACACGTAATGAAGTGTACGTTACCTCTCCCGCAGGAAATCGTTGCTCCTCCAATGTCACGCTTCTGGCGTTTTTTTTTTTTTTTGGGTTTATGGTGGATGACGTGGTAACCCATGCACTGTCAGCATGTTTTTCTTCATTGGTCTTTTGCGCGTACCAAATTTCAGTAATGGGCTTATTTTGCGCGTAATAATGGCCCAAGACTGTTTTCGTCTTTTCCCACCAACTCTAGGGTTTCCAGGTTTCTCCACATTGGCCCTTTATAAATTACCACACACCACACTCACCCTGTATCTCTCTTCGTTCAACTTCTAGGGTTTTCTCCGCCGAGTATTACTGGGTTTCCCAGCTTCGCCGCTCTCGAATTTTCTTGGGATGTGGATGTTTTGGTTAGGATTCTGTGGTTTTGTTTCTTTTATGGGATTTTAGGGCTCTTTTGTTTCGCTTCCGATCCGATGAGATTGGATCTGATGTTCATGGTTTTTGTGCGTCAGAGAATGCTTCGTCAGATGGTCTACGCGGATTTGTCCGTTCCCGTACGACTCGTTCCCTTGAAGCAAAATCAATCGTGTTGCTTTTTCATATCTCTCCCAAATCCTTTGAGCATTCGTTGCTCGCCTCGTTGATCTGGGAGTACACTGGAGCAACTACACTTTTTCCAGTATTGGTTGTGGATGGCGTTTTCTGTTGAAAGAACGGTGATGAGATTATACAGACCTGTAATGATTGCGGTGATGATCGCAGTTCATTATGAACATCTAAGGGACTGAGTTCTTCAATTTTTCATCTTGCGATTACAGTTTTAAATTGGCTCTGCTCTTTGATACAATGCTTCACTCTTTCACAATATATAATTTTGAAGCTAGAGCGAGAGGCCCAAATTGATTTTGTTCCCCTCGCTATCCAATGCGTCTGTAATCTGGTTGCGTAATTTGGACGTCGGGGATCGATATTTCTTTTGAATTGATTCAGCGTATCTTTGATGGATTGTTGTTTGAAGGGGGAGTCAAATGAAGAACATCTTTGACGAGTTGTTGAATGCTCTGTCGGTTCCGATCGCTAAGCATGATGATTCAATCTCTTGAATAGGAAGATCTGATGATTTCCTCCCCTTTCTAGTTTTTGCTGTCCCTCTTCCAACGTTGGTTGCAATCAGAAGCCGGTGAAGATTTGTATTCATGGTTGTTGCTGAAATTCAAACGAAATTTGTTGAAAGTTTATACGAACTAGGACGGTCTGAGGCTTCTGATATATCTGTATATCCATTTGGGATTTTGGATTGATGGTAAACGATTGATTGGGGGTGTGTGTGGATGATGATAATCACTTAAAAATTACAGTTATCCCTGGCTGAGGTTAAAGCCTTTGATGTATGTTCATAAGCTGACGCATTCACACCCTTCAACTTTCTCTTTGATTTTGGTTCTTTTTTCTGTTGTCGATAACCTTTACGGTGTGCAAACAAGTGTATGCGTGATGGGTGATCCATGCTTCTGCTGTTTATCCGTATCGTCCTCGCTACAAATGGAGTTGTGCTCATCATCTGTGATCCTATTGATAATTGCCAACTTGTGCTTTAAAGTAGTAGTAGCATTCGGCGTTGATCTTGCTGTGGCGTTGCCAAGTAGTTCAAGTAACCATTCAAATATAATATGAAATGGGCGCTTTGAATATGGACTCTGGTGGCTGCTCGTTATCGGTGTCGTTGATGTTATAATAATCATCAATACGATATGGTTGTATGTGGCGCCCCGACGGCGCTTCACAGCGGTTTTGCTTAGCTTTCTTAATGAATCTGCGTTCGATCGTGGGTGTAAAAGTAATAAATAATGGGTCTCGTGTAGTTTATGAAAGGATGCATCATGCATACATGCATGCCCATCATTGTGGTAAAAATTGTCACGCAGAAGATCTGTGTATTAGAATTTCCGATAAAGAGGGTGTCTGCAGAAAATTTTGGTAAACAGTTTTAACGTATAAATTCGTTTATCATACATTACTCGTAGTCAAAGATTTCGGATTCCAGTCAAACGTATGTATGTATATATTGTATACACACATTTAAAAGGACATGTCGCTCGTTATATATATATATATGTATATACAGATGCCCAATAATTAATGTTTTTCGATGCAGTAAAGAGAAGCAGATAACCCTCCAGATGACTTCTAAGACTGTACACTTTTACGAATGAAAGAAGAGGGTTACGTCATAAAAGCATGAAAGCGGGTTTCCAATTATCCATTTGTTAATCAACGTCAATGCCCAGACAAAAACTATGAACGATGGGGTTATGTCGTCCGACTTTGGAAGTTCCACGCATGTTTATTATACTAATACAATACACCTCCTCATGTTCTTTCCTTAAAACGCCCACCTCGGTTTTTGCTTCGAAATTTCAATCCCATATATGTCGGCTCTTAACGACGACCATACCGTCTCTTCTTCTTCCTGGCACCGGGGGAAGGTCTTAGGCAGAGGATGCTTTGGCACCGTCAATCTCGCCGTTAACCGATCCGACGGCACGATTTTCGCCGTTAAATCCGTTGATCGTTCCACGTGTCTCCCGTGTCAGCTCCAGTCCCTCGAGAACGAAATTCGGATCCTCCGCTCTGTTTCCTCTTCTCTTCACGTCGTGCGCTTCCTCGGCGACGACGTTACCCGGGAAGGTACGACGACGTTTCGTAACCTCCATCTGGAGTATATGCCACGTGGATCTCTCGCTGACGTGGCGGGAGATTACCTGGACGAGCAGCTGATCCGGCTGTTCACGCGCTGCTTGGTCACTGCTCTGAGGCACGCGCACACGCTCGGAATCGTACACTGTGACATCAAGGCGAGGAATGTTCTACTGGGCGTCGAACCGGGCTCCGTCAAACTCGCCGATTTCGGGTCGGCCACTGAAATCAAACCCGGAGGCCGAAACGGGTTCAGGTCTCAGGTACTGCCACGTGGAAGTCCTCTGTGGATGGCTCCCGAGGTGATTCGGCGGGAATACCAAGGGCCCGAGAGCGACGTGTGGTCGCTTGGATGCACCGTCATCGAGATGGTCACCGGAAAACCGCCTTGGCGTGACTGCGGCGTCGATGCCCTGAAAATAATCGGATTCTCCGGCGAGTTGCCGAGTTTCCCAACTCGGTTATCGGAAATCGGCCGGGATTTCCTCGACAAGTGCCTGAGGAGGGATCCGAGCGAGAGGTGGGACTGCGATCAGCTGCTGCATCACCCTTTCCTGTCATGGTATACGTTTTCGGCCATGTCCGAGCCATCTCCGAGGCGTGTACTCGACTTGGTGTTCGAGGAGGACGGGGAGAGCGAGTCAGCAACCGAGTCGAATTCAAATTTAGAAATGTCTGAATCGGCGGCTAGGTGGAGGATGGGCCGATTGGCGACGAGCAGAGGGGCCATCTGGGCATCTGAATCTGATGGTTGGTTGGCAGTTAGAGGTTCGAATCACGGAACACGTCACCCATCTTCCGGTTCTTGGATTCCGTACATGGCGGGGCCAAGTCCGACGTGGCTAAGTACGAGGGTAGAAATGGAATTATACGAAAAATAGCGGCCTTGATTCAGCCGGAGTTGGGCCTTGTGGGTCCCGGGAGCTGGGTTCCGACACGTGTAGAAATGTTCATACATGATTTAATTTTGTATGGTCTGTATTTAATCATATGTATATATAACAAGCAAACAAACAGGTTTCTAAATATTATCATCGGGAAGTGCCTTTATGTCTGAATCCACTTATAGAAATTTACAGGGTCAAGCGTGTTCATATATATATATATATATATATATATTGGTGTTGAATATTTTTTTGAACCAATTAATTAAATATTTTGTTGGGTGGACACGGAGTCAGGAGACATGATAAAGACAAGAGCTTTACAGTTTGCTTAGCCACGAGGTCTTCTTCTTCCTGCCTCTGTTCACTTTTTTTGGCACTTCCCATCACGAACGGAACGGCGATTCCTTTATAATCCAAACAAACTTTAAGTTTTGTCCACATTTTATTATTCTTATCATCAACTATGTATGCGTGTGTTCAATGGATCGAATTCGCTCGAGCCTCTTTTTCCCCAATCTGTTTTTATTTTTCTTTATATGGTTGAATATATAAATATAGAAATAGATATTCATCAAAAAAAGAATATAGAGATAGAAAGAGATGCATCATTTGAGCCTTGTCCTCTAAAGGGGACATTTTTTTTAAAATAGATGTTTATATTCTGGATCCCAACCTCTTGATTATTAAAAAAAATAGAGGGAAGATTATTGGCTATCATTTAAATACTATATATCTTCTCATGTGAAGTTGATTCCTTGATGACTGTGTTGGGCCATTGATGAGCTGAGAAAAGGGGTATTGATGAAAGCCCATTAAAAGCCCATCAATGTTTCTCAAGCCCAACCTTTCCTTGAGAGTTTTCTTCTCCAAAATCGTTGACCATGAAAGCTTGCTTGATACACAGCTTCTCATCTTAGTCGTCCTCTTCGTCTCCCTTCTCTACTTCTATGCTCGCCTTCTTCTTCTGCTCCGATGCTTTCGGGATCCTTCATCAATTCCACAGCCGGATAAAGGGTTTAGATTTACTAGAAATATGTCTTGTTATTATGAAAGTTTTAGACTAAGTTTGTTTTGTTTGATTACATATGTAATTTGATTTCATTTTGTTTATAATTACCCGTTCGAATAAGATAACGAGGAAATGGTCATTTTTTTTTATAGATTTAGTGGCATTGGTTTAGTATTTTTTTTGAAAAATAATATAAATAAAGCACAAACTCCATCTTAGAAAAATCATCTCCATCTCCCTCTCTTCCTTTTTTTTTTTTAACTCTGGTTCTCTAATTTATTCTGCATTTATTTTCATCTCTTCATTAAAAAAAAAAACTTTTTTCTTGGTCATTATACATTTTTTTTTTGTAAAAATGCAAATTGAGAAAAATCCTCTCCATCTATCTCTCTCTAACTCTGGTTCTCTAATTTATTCGGCATTTATTTTTTTTCACTTCATAAAAAAACTTTTTTTTCTGGGTCATTAAACAATTTTTTAAAAATGCAATTTGAGAAAATTTGCATTCGGTTTTTTCTAACGAGTGGTATTAGAGTATCATTGAATTTTTTTATCCATTAAACAAAAAATGTTGTTTTTTTACTCTATAAATTAAACTATTGGGCAGATGAATAAAAATGTTAGGGAGAAGAACCAAAAAATTACAGTACTTGGCTTGTTCCCTCTTTTACACTCTACTCTCTTTCAATAACATCCGAAGAGGGTCCCATGATCCCATCTAAACCCATAAATTTTAATAACGTTTTTAAAATTACAAATTGGTACCCAAATTAACTACCTCAAGAAGTGAGGTAGAGACGCGAAGCGTACGTTTCAGAGCCGTCTCATATATTTTCGGGGCTCGTTACAATAAATATTTATTTTTATTATTAATATATTAAATTTAAAATTTTAAAATATTTAAATATTATTTATTATGAATTATATTAAAATATTAATACGAACAATTATATTTTTAAAAAATATTTTTTTTAAAATAATATAATTGTATCAATTTTTATTTAAATAATATCATTTTTCTAACTTTAGTTGAAGCAAAAATAACCATATATGTTATTATTAAAGAATAATAAATATACAATAATAATATTATCATTAAAAAATAAACATTGATAATATAATATCTTAAGATTTGTAATATTCATAAAATAAAAATATAAACGAAGAGTAAGGTAGGGGTGGGCACGGATCGGATATCCGGACTTTTTTAGATATCTGTATCCATCCGATCCGTACGAATATATTATTTTATTATTTCTGCTTCGGATACGAGTCGATGAACGTATCGGTTCGGTATGAATGTATTCGATCCGTACGAATGTATTCGGTTCGGATACGAGTCGATGAACGTATCGGTTCGGTTTTTTCGGATATTATGCCCACCCCTAGAGTAAGGTATAAGAGTGATTTTTTATAACAAATTTTGGATTGAAAAAGAATGATAGTGTAAAATTAAGATTCATTTTAGATTTATAGAAAAATATAATTATTAATTATATTGATTAAAAAATTAATATCATAACTTAAAAAATGACTAAAAAATTATAATTATTAATGAGAAATATTATAAAGATATCATCTACCTACTTTTAAAAGTACGGATATTTATAAAATCTGATTTTAATCATTTATTAAATATTTATTAATAAATACTAACTATAAATTGATAAAAAGAAATTATAATATGAGGCCCACATAAAATTGTGTGGTCCAGTGCTGAACAACCATTTGCATATGTCTTAAGACGAAGATATTGGTTCTATCTCAAATTCGAATCTCAAATTCAGGAATATAATTCTAATCAGATGGCTTGTTATTTACCCGTATTAGTCTGGAATTCAGTTAAAGATAACCTATACCCCAAAAAAATTACAAATTCGTAATTTGGCGAGGAACGGCAGGGTGTTGGTTGTGCCGAGGAGGATGAACGCACTGCATGCCGTCTTAGTTTGGGCCGAAGAGAGTGAGAGAAACTGGTTTTAACTACAAGGCCCATTCCACCAAATCAATGGATCGGATGCGATGACGATCTGTGATATTCCTTGCGAGATTGTACATAGCGTTCACACCCAGGGGACACGAGGGGTAATGACAAGTTATATCGGACTTTTTGTTCCTTTGTAAATTATGAAATGAAAAAATCGTGTATGGAAATTTTAGATTGCAACGTCGACCAATGATGACAAAAGGGTTCCATCTCTTGGGAAATTTCCTGGAAAGTGATGAAACTGAAGATGGGGGCCACCTATATCTGTATCCTTATGTCTGTCTTATTTTATGGAGGACTATGAAATCGACGTTGGACCAGGGGGGCATGGTGGACACTCCATTTATTGTTTAGTTTTATTTTGATCAACAAATATCAGACTATATTATAAATTATATAAAAATCAATAGAGGAAAGAGACAAAAGGGGAGGATCCAAAAATCGGGCGGTAAAGATAAAGAAGTGTGGATGCAACAAAAATGGCGAGAAATGAAGCGATGAGTCCAGGGGGGGAGGCGGGGGAGATGATGATTCCGTACGAGAGGGACAAGAACTACGCTTTGAACGGAGAGATCTTGATGGTCGTCTTCCTCGTCAGCTTCGCCGCTCTCCTCTTGCTCCTGGTGCTGCTTCCATGCCTGAAGAGCCGGCATCGTCTTCCTGACCACTCCGACGTGTCCGACGTGGAACTCGGCAACCGAGTTGCCCCTTCCGACACCACCAAGCCATCGTCCCCCGTCCTAATTACCAACCAGTCTCTTCTCTTTTCCAAGTAGGCTGCATTTCTTTTTCTGGGTTTAGGGTATAATCGGAATATATTCCTTATATATATATATATGGGGGAGAACATCAGGAATAAAAAAACAAACGAGATGGATCTAACATATATATATGTATATATATACACGAACCAGACAACATTGATACGCTTGGTGCAAAACATGCACGAGTCTTATATATCTTACTTCCCAAGAGTCAAAATTGCAATTGTTTTGCGTCATGTACTTTGTCTGTCGAGTTAGTTAATGATGCGCTTCTAATCTAACTCTCACATCTCATAATACACGAATTAGATGGTATTTAAGACTTCTACTTGTATATTTTTTTAAACATCAATCACAGTTTTCACTCTTCACATTTCCCTATTCGATTTGGTAATTGTTCCGTTTGGTCGGTTAGTTCTATAAAAATATGTACCAATCGGTTATTATATCATATTTATTTCGACATTGGTTTTCATTAAAGAAAAAAAACAGTTTTTTTTTGAAAAAAAAAATGATCTTTTCAAAAATTTTAAAATTTCGGTTCGGTTTAGTTTTGAAATTCTTTTAAAAAAATTACCATTAAAAAATTTTGAATGGTTCCGTTGTGAATGATATCAATTTTTTTGACCGAAATATCTACCCCTATATCCACATGTTTACTCGGAGCAAATTGACCACCAAAAGAAAGAAAAAACAGGGGAAAGATATCATTGTATGAACATACAACATGACGAACCATCTAGTCGCAATCGCTTGAAGAATCATAACAGAAAGGAAATATTCTAATCATAATGTATTACGATTGTGTTTAATCAAAATGATATCTTTTTAGTAATATACACAAAATCACAATCCCCATCAATCACTCATTTTGAATCGTAATTATTTGTAATCGCTATCAACAACAATTTTTCTATCGGTTAACACAAATCTCCTGCAATCGCCAACAAACCCATCAGAAACATCTACGATCATCTCGATTGCGATTGCAATTGCCATTGGACGAGTGACCACCTAAGAACAGCAGCAGCAGATTACAACAAAGGGTCTAACCAATCTTACGGGGACACGTGGGTGATTAGTACTTATTACAAAAGTTTCACAAGACATGCGGGAAGCAAAATCGACAGAAAGGGCCATAAGATTTGATAGCGCGATGTGGGTAGGTACGATCGCGTGGTTGATAGACCGCCTCGATCGATCGCTTATTCAATCCGACAGCAAAATTTAGGGTTCCACCAAATGTTTCCGACTAACGATTTAATGGATGACAAGTTGACAACAACACGAGTCATTAATATTTTTGACACTGGGATGTCTTCATAAGGCCCATCTTTAGCTGTCGTCGGCCCGAACGTGTTATTTTCTTGCGAGGATTAGAATCCACACACGTCGAATCCGCATGGGCCTAATTCGAACGGCCGTCTTATGATATATTGACCGGCCCATTCATCATACTGATTGTTTACAAAAAAAAAAAAAAAATAAGGCAAGGTATTATATCGACGAGTTCATATTTAAATTGTAAGTTAGAAAAGTTCGGTATTATTACGTCAGCTATCTCCAAATTCGATATTTTTTTTGGAAATTTCTCTTATATATATTTATCTACATCGATAATTTGATAGAAGATTATAAATTTTCTAATTTGACTAGTTTTGAAGATCTTACTCGTGTTACGGTAGAAACCAAAAAATATCTTTCATATCTATTGATATACAGACTTTTAAAATTAGTTTTAATTTTATTCGTTGTCACCGTAACTATTGATAGATATTTTTAACGATAAACTTTGCGAAGATAATTTTGTGCAATCAGATTAGTTATCAGTTTTTGAATGATTGTCTAATTTATTTAACCGAAAAATAATATATTTTTAGATGGTTAAAAATAAAGTTATTATAAATATATTAAAAAGCGAAGGACTATAAATAAAATTCAGTTATAGAACATATGAATATTTTTATAACGATATATTTTTATTATTTTTAATTTTTTTGTATTTTATATAAAATTTATAACTATTGTCCCCACTTTAAAAAAATTTTGGATCCGCCACTGTTCCTTACACATTTCACTAATTATTTGATAAAAACATTATAAATTATACATTATGACCCATTAGATCAACATATGACCAGAATATATTTCTGATCTCTCCAAAGATACGTAGCGAAGTCATAATGTTCATCCCTAATTATTAGATAAAAACATTATAAATTATATGTAATGAAACCAACATGATCAAATTATATTTTTGTGAACATTGATCACAGTTGAAAACAATTGAAAAAAAAAAGGTGAAGTTAAAATAATGAGGATAATTTTTTATAATGCCCAATTATCTGTCAATTTTTTTTATTTTTTATTTTAAAAAAGTAGCCAGCTACACAATTATACAATTTAAAAAGTCCTTTTTGAATAGTGTGAAAGAAACAAGTACTTGAGAGAAGAAAAAAGTCTAATATAGTAGCTGATGTCTTCAATTCAGTGTCATCGGGTGACTTAGTTTCCAATTTTTTTTTTTTTTATGCAATATGGATTCAGAACCAATTTGCAAGGAAAGTTATTTCTTTTTAAAGAAAAAAGTTATGATAATTTGGGTTTATATTGTATAATCCACAGATGATGGGTACGAAGTACAGATACGGATAATAATTCATGAAATCGAGTGATCGTTGGAATTGTTTTTATTAAAAGGAAAGAAGAACAAAAATACAAGGAGAATTGATCCAAGTGAGAGAGCATAAGAGGTTAGAACTTAGAATGGTAATGAGGTCCGCAACACCCGCAAATCTAATAGACTTCCCTTTTACAGTCCCTAAAAAAAAATCGCAAGTGACATATTTAACACCCAAAAACAGCAATTTTTTTTTTTGCTGAAGGGGCTAGGAAGAAGAACGAGAGGGGGGAGGGGAGGAACAGGAAGGGCACCTGATGAGACCGTTCTCGTTGCAAGAGGAGCATGATCTGAACCCTAGCTTGACACTGTAGAGCTTGTGGCTGCCATGGCAGTCGTTGCAGGGAACGAAGCCGTGACCTTCGCAACCTTCGCATTCTCCAGATTCAGCCGGGAGCAATCCTTGAACGAGCTTCTTAAGCTCTCCCATCTCGTGCAGCTGCTTCACCTCCTCCGCTCCGCCTACGTACCTTCCGCCGATGAACACGCGCGGTAGCTTCTGCACCTTCCCCTCCCCGAAGATCCGCCTGAGCTCCGTGGCGAAAGACGCGTCCATCGACATATCTCTCTCGTCGATCCGGACGCGGAACGCACGGAGGATGGATCTGACGGCTTTGCATTCCTCGAAGGTCGACCGTACTACCCGCAGGCTGGTGAAGTAGAGGACGATGCTGTTCTCCGCGCCTGGAAGCGAAATCCGGACATCAGGAGGATCGGAATCTATGTAGGGGAGCTGATTGCGATGGGAGGGCCAGGATCGGAGGACGGAGCTGGCGAGGCGAACTCGATGGAAAACCCGGTTGGGGCACTTGGGAGAAGATGGAGGGAAAGCGGAGTAATCGTCGGTGCAGAGATGGTGGATGTCTTTGAAGGAGAAGGAAGGTGAATAATTCGGCGACGATTTGCCCCGCGGCCGCCACATTTACGGTGGAGATCGGAAACTAGGGTTTGTCTGGGAAATGGTCTCCGAGGGAGGAGAGAGAAAGGGCGCTTGGTTGGTTAAAAAGGATTTCGTAAAATCCCTCTGGTTTTTTGTTTGTGACTTGTCTGTTAAAAAAAGAGATGAGGTTTTCACTTTAATCACAATGCAACACACACACGCATATACATATACACATCTGTATATATATTGAAATAATGGGCCAAGTTCAATTTATAGATTAGGGATACTCTTCAGAATTCTCAAACGTGTGAAACTATCTATTTATTTCCGAAACTTAAAAATTTGGATAAAATAATTTTTAAATTTAGTTAAGAGTATCATTATCGTTCTTACCATAAATTTGACCAAAATAATGTGTAGAATAATTCTACGTAACATGAATTATCAAAACACGTTAGATTTTAATATCATATATACAGAATCGAATTTAATAGACACGGTTTAACAAAACAAATTTGTAATAGTAAAAATTCTAGTTCATTAAAAGTAACAATTTGGAGGGCACATCCGGATTTATCGATGGTATTTCTTGTCGCCGCGTCTCTTCTCACCAAAAATTTTGGGATGAAAGAGATATAGCCCCGATGACGGTTATTTCGACGCCAAACGCTCCTGTTTTGGTAGAGATCTAGAGCTCGAGAACCGACAGTGATGATAATTATTCTGATCTTCAACGTTATCCCATATCTTTTGGTGAACCAGAATTTTCACTATTACGAACCGGTTTTGTAAAATCGTGTCTATTAAACACAATTATGCATACATGACATAAAATGCTGACATGTCTTGACAATTGATGCGTGTGACAGCCCAGGATACCGTAGGAGGCCGGGGAGTGATCGCCGGTGCGAGAGGTATGGACAATGGGCGGCTCCTGACGAACTTCTGGTTAGGGGATATAAGAATGAATCGAACGCACCAGAATTAGAGGGATCCGATGAATGTGTAGGTCTGAGACTACACAGTCAGAGATAACTAAGAATTAATTGAGCTACTCAAAGTAACAAGATGCATCTACCCTTTCGGTTGCTCATCTCAGAACTCCAAAGTTAAGCGTGCTTGCTTTGGAGTAGTCTTATGATGGGTGATCTATTGAAAAATACTTTTCGGGATGTATGCGAGTGAAGACAAAACACGCTAAAAGGTCTCGTATTGTTGTGTGGAGATAATTCTATCATTCCGCAGCGGCCTCAGATCGTTACAATGTGTCACGTATGATTGTTCAATATATTATTTTCGTCAAAAATTTTGTTAGAGCGATTATAACACTTTGAAGTAAGTGTAGGAATTATCATGTCCTATAAGTTAAGAAATTAATTTTCTACCAAATTATAAGTTTGAAAATTTTTAGTAGTTTTTTCCCCATAGATTAGAATTGTGATTATTTCAAAATTATAAAAACAATAGGTTATATGCTAATTTAGCATGACATATAAGATAAAATAAAAAAAATGTTATAGTTAAGATGGAGACAAGAGTGATGGGAACAACACGCGCAACAGTCACCAAACAAAAGCACACGGAAGGATAACCAAAAGCTCATTCACTTATTATCTGTCACGTGCAACCCTTTCACAAAGCTTATGATAGTCACCTTATTATAATTTAGCTACATTTTGTTGCACAGATGTATTTTTTTTTTGTGGGGCAAAATTTATCATCTGTATTCCCTTTTAAGTTTCTAGTTGTTGCATAAATGTATTTTTTGTGTGGCAAAATTTAAATATATGGTTTTTACTTGCTGCTTAAATGTGTATTTTTTTTTGTGGTAGTATATAACAGGTTGGACACGGCTCGTATATCCAAAGTTTTTTTAGATATCGGTATCCGTATTCGATCCATGCAAATATTCGATTTTGTTATCCATATTTGATTTGTAGTTTTCGAATATTCGCAATTTTGAATATTTGTATCCAATTAATTAAAAATATGATAAAAATAAATATTTTTTCGAATATCCGTATCCGACCTACAAAATGATAAATATTTATAAATATTTGTATCAACAATTTCGGATATCTATAAAAACGATATATATTTTTTCAAAGTTACCCTAAATAAAAATTAATTATCAAATTATCTATATATTTAATAACATTACTAAAAAGTACGGATCATAATTAGTATCCGATTTGTATCAAAAAAATATCTTGAAATTAATATACGTATTTGATTCGTAAATTTTGGATATCTAAATTTTCGGTTTGAATACAAATCGAATAGCAGTTCCATTCGATTTTTTGGGAGATAATATCCACCCTAGCATATATATATATATATATATATTCACTTTTAAGTTTTTAACTATGAAAGAATAATATATTTGAAAGCCTAACTCGGCATATGATAATATTAATATTGTATTAAAACAGATAACTAAAAGAGTTATGAACTTATGGGACCATGAACACAATGATGACCGCAACCGGAGACCACACACAAGTCAGTGGGTTAACAAAAATGGATTAGAAAAGAAGGAAAAGGCACAGGGCACGTGGGGGACGTGGTGGATTCTGAAAAAGCTTCACGTGGCACCACTTGACGAAAGCTGACGGACATCTTCTTAATCTTATGGTCCTTTTGGATATACCTATACAAAACCCTAATTAATTACGACCAAAATCTACTAAAAATTAAAAATGCCTTTTTTTTGGAATTTGTTTATTGGGTCAAAAATTGCATTTTCCCTTTGCTTTTGTCAATCACGAAACGGTCAAGAACCAATAAAGTATGTTTTATATGTGTATGCATATAATAATATTATTGATCAGAGAGACTAAAAACGAAAAATAATTGTCGTCGACAGCAGGATTCGAACCTGCGCAGGCAAAGCCCAACAGATTTCGAGTCTGTCTCCTTAACCACTCGGACATATCGACTTGTTGACGAGAAGTGAACATTTAAAAATAATTTTTGACAGATTAAGGCAAACGATTCCATACAAACATAATAAGACGAATGCCCCAGCGACGATAGGTGGGCCGGATAATCACTCTTTATGGGCTGGGCTTTACTATTGATACGTGGGCGGCTCAGAACCGCACGATTATTACGCCGATCTTTGTTTCTTGATATTTTATTCAGCGACCAAAATATGAGCATCTTTTGTATACTACTAGTAGTAGAAGTTCATTACATGCTTTGAAGCACGTGTCATAAGTCTCTCTCTATAAGGTTTGTGTCCGTTCCCTTTTAACAAAACCCTAGGTCATGGCTGGGATGTACAATCAAGATGGCGGCGGCGGTGCCCCTCCTCCTTCTTACGGCGGTGACGGTTACGGCGGAGGTGGAGGCTACGGAGGCGATGGTGGATATGGAGGCGGCCGTGGAGGAGGAGGTTACGGCGGACGCGGTGGTAGAGGAAATCGAGGTTTGCCCGCTCGGACGGATATTTCTCCTTCTTTGTTCGAAAATATTTGTGTTTCCCGCATGGTTTTTTCACAATTGCTATTCATCATGTTGATTTGATTGTTGAACAGGCGGTGGTGGATATCAAGGAGGGGATCGCGGTGGAAGAGGCAGCGGCGGCGGTAGAGGTGGCGGTCGCGGAGGAGGTGGTGGCGGTGGCGGTGGCAGAGATGGAGATTGGCGCTGCCCCAACCCTAGGTGCGTATCATGTGTTTATCTGTGGCGTAATCTGCCGCCTCGTTTGTTCTGCGTGGTTAATGATGCTGATATCGTCGGTTGAACTTCATGACCTGTAGTTGCTAAACCTAGATTTGTTTAAATCCCTACTTATATCTCAACTATTTGTATATAGCTGCGGGAACGTGAATTTTGCGAGAAGAATTGAGTGTAACAAGTGTGGTACACCCGCTCCTGCTGGTACGGGTGATCGTGGAGGTGGTGGATATAACCGGGGAGGAGGTGCTGGAGGTTATGGCGGTAGTCGAGGAGGTAGAAATGATAGTGGTAGGAGCAACAGCTATGATGGTGGTAGATTTGACGCTAGGAGTGGTGGTAGTGGTGGTGGTGGTAGATATGGTAACAATCAGCAGAGGGAAAATGAAACTTACGGGCAGGCACCTCCGGCTGCTATCCCTTCATATGATGGGTCTGGTGGCAATTATCCACCACCCTCGGGTCCAGCGGGTAGCTATCCAAGCTACGGAATGGAGGCAGTTCCGCCACCTTCGAGTTATGCTGGTGGGCCTCCGTCATACCCTCCGTCCTATGGTGGTGCTGTTGGAGGTTACAATGGGGATGGGCAGAGGAGTGGTGGTAGAGGTGGTGGTCCAGCTGGTGGTGGTGCTCCACGTCGCCAAGAGGGTGGTTATGGAGATGCTGCTGCTGATTCCCGTACCCAAGTCAAGCAGTGTGATGGGGATTGCGATGAGACATGTGATAATGCGAGAATATACATTTCAAACTTGCCTCCAGATGTGACCACTGATGAACTCAGAGATCTCTTTGGTGGCATTGGCCAGGTAAAATACTGTTCTCTTTGTTTTTGTTATGTTTCAGTCTTTCAGAGTCAGACCACTCGTTGCTAATCTATTCCACGGTTGGGTTTATGCAGTATGTCTCATGGTTCTAACTTGAATTTTAGACCTATATTTGAAAGTTTTGGTATTTATTGTTTTGTTCTAGAATACCCTTGATCTTCCCTAGACATTCTAGTCTGATTCTGATTTAGAAAGCATTTTCTGTTGAATTCATTTTATAGGTTGGGAGAATTAAGCAGAAGCGGGGCTATAAAGATCAGTGGCCCTGGAATATCAAAATCTATACTGATGAAAAGGGAAACAATAAAGGCGACGCGTGCCTTGCTTATGAAGATCCTAGTGCTGCGCATTCTGCAGGCGGCTTTTTCAACAGTATGTACTGTACCTTTTCTGCATAGTATGATGTAATTGCTTGAGAATTTTTTTGATGACTGAAGAGTTGTGTGCATTTCTTGTAGATTATGAAATGAGAGGGCATAAGATCAGCGTTGTGATGGCGGAGAAGTCTGCCCCTCGTGCTCCTGCATATGACCAGAGGTTCAACACTTCATTTTGTCCTAATTCTGCATGAATACTATTCCAATTGCTCCCTTGACTCTGTTTATCTTTCAAAACTAACTACTCACTTGATAGGTCTGTGCATGGTATAGCAGTTATACCTGTGTTGTTTCTGCTGACTCGCTGTTATGTGCTTGCTATTTATTGCACCTAGGTTGCATTCGCTGTTTATTCCTGAGTTGAACAACCCACTGGCCTTTCTTTTCGAATATTTCTGGTGCTATAGGTTGTTTCATTTTTTGATTGTCTTGTGCAATCTTTTCCTTTTGTCACACACCTTATACTCACATCTATGATGTAGAACAAGTATCTCCTGATTCAGCATAAAATCACCTCTAGATCAAATTTCTGGAAATTGTTCTGGCGAAGGAAATGGTATCAACGTAGTGAAATAGTCTCAATATTACGATCCCATTTTTCGCAGTCTCTACTGTTTGCTGTTAGGGATTTGATTGTGAAGTGGGTTTATTGGCTTGCTCCTCTCATAGTTTCCTGCCAAAAGAAGTGTCTATTTTTTCCTACCTGGGTGAATAGCCTATGTAACTCTGTTTAAAAATTAGGTTGAGACTCTTCAAATTTTTGCTAAGCTCTACTTGTCTTGGATTGGATGACATTAGTTGTTTATGCAATTCTCTTATGATATTATCTGGTTATGCATGCAAGTCGAGTTTTGCCTCTGTTATGTGGATCATGTCTCTAAAATATTGGCGAAAATGGTGATGATGTGGTGTAGATATTTGTAGATTAAAGAAACTTGTTGTTGTGGCAGAGGTGGTGGGAGAGGTGGCTATGGTGGTGGGGGAGACAGAAGAAGGGATAACTATGGTTCGGGACCAGATAGAAACTACCATGGTGGAAACCGGTCGAGACCATACTGAGAGAGAAGAGAGCAGCTGTTGGGCTCTACTGTTGAGTGTAGTAAAAAAAAAAAAAAGAATGTGTTTGAGGGGATTTTAGTAATGTTACATTGATGATGGGAGTTGTTCTATGAAACATCATATGGAGATAAAAGAGGTAGGTTGTTCACTTGACCTTTGAGCAAAATACCCTTTTGTTCTCCTCTCTTTCTCATTCCATCTCTGTTTTCTTTTCTTTTCTTTTCTTTCTTTTTTTGGGGTGGGGATATTGCATATCTAAGCTTCGGATTGATTGATTGATTTTGTTTGTCTCTTTTTTTTTTACAACGTGGATGTTGTTGTTGTTGTTGTTTTTTTATAGAAGCAAGAGGATAGAATAACTCCAAAACGCTTTGCTGGTAAGGTAGGTTCATGATGATTTCAGGTGAGTCTTCCCCCTCACGTTCAATCTTATTTCTTTCCCTCTTTTAATTTGGAAACTCCATTCTAGTGTAGCTTTACCATCTTGGTTTAATAAACATATATGGGGCAGATTCATCCCTATACTTGCTTCATTTTAGGCCTCTGTTCAGGTTTACAGAACCAACCCAGACCACCAACAAACTGTTTCCGGCCATTGTTATGGTTCTGCTTTTTATATACACGCATACACACACAAGAAAAAAAGAGTTTTTATTTATTGAAGAGCTGGGAGGGGGGAGAGTAGGAGCAGCACTTGAAGGGTATTTAGATGAAAATGTGGTAGATGTGGAGGTGTTGCCCCGTGTATGTCTCCAGTTCAGGCGTCAAGAATTATCTATTTACATATAATACGATCCAAGTTCCCTCTTGTCGTTATGAGATTAGAGCTAACCTTTTTCATATACGGAATAGAGGGTCTTTTGTCCTTTTTTAGTTTTGTCCAAAAGATTGCCCTACTTTTTATTTGTATCACGCTTATGTACTATTCATGACTATGGAAACAAAGGTTATATAAATATCTCAATTGTTTTTAAAAAAAAGGTGTAATATTGTTCAGCGGAATATAACATAGACTACGAAGTGAAAGGACGCAAGAAAAGAAACCCTATCTCAGGTTTATATATAGCGAGTAAACCTGATGTGTGTATATGCATATATATATATATATACACACATATATAAAGTGGAAAGATGGATGGCGAAGACTAACACATCAAATTCTTCTCTCCTTTACCCATTTGGCAGCGTGGGTTTCACTACTTGGCGGCATTCAAATATATCTACGCAGAAAAAGAAAAACACAGAAACGCCAAATAAAAGCAACAGTTTAATTAAGAAAAATGCTAAAACGTGTAATGGTGTTTCCCCGTTTGACGCACGTCCACAGCCCTTTGACTGTCACCTTCTTCCATTGTTCTGGCTCTCTGATTCCTCTTGTTGCCTTTTCGTCAGAGAGAAAAGCAAAGTCAGGGATTAAAGAAGAAGTGGGCGCGTGTTGTTGCATGGTTAGGGTTTTCCCAGGGAGCTTCAACAGTCCGTTGGTGGGAGATGAAGGGAACTTCGTCGCAACGGCACCTTTCGACAACGTTCGGCTGCCGGTCGTATGCCGGCAGAGTTACAAGAGCCCGCCCTTCGGGTTATTCAGGGGACATAATCCCCTCAATTACCCTTTCTCCACGTTCTTGCTCGATGCCATTGCCATCATCTTCTTCATCAAAGCCGTCTCCTTCCTCCTCCGCCCTCTCCGCCAGCCCCGCATCGTCTCCGAGATCATCGTCCGTTGCCATTGCAATCTCTCTCTCTCTTTTTTTTTTTTACAAATTTAAGAATATTGTCATCTGTTCTGATTCTACGAGATTTGATATTTTGAAGGGTGGGATGATAATCGGACCGTCGCTGCTGGGACAGAACCGGAGATTCAACTACAACATGTTTCCACGTGTGGCGGAGTATACAGTTGCGAACATTGGGCTGATGGGTTTCATGTATTTCCTCTTCATAACGGGCGTCAAAACCGACATTGTTGCCATCAGGAAATCTCCGAGGAAGCACATGTACATAGCCACCATTGCCGTCATCGTCCCCTTCGTTTGCGTCAGCATTGTCGGATTAGCAACGAGGCACAGCATGGAGCATGGTAACTTAACTACTGACAATTGCATCATATCTGATCGTGTTCATTCATTCATTGTAAGAATACGAATCGAATGACAGTGCTCAAGAGGATATCGGCCCTTGGGGGCGTGGCTTCTTCCTTGGCAATCACGTCATTCCCTGTGATATACACCGTACTTCATGACACCAATCTGCTCAACTCGGAGGTCGGGAAATTTGCCATGTCGGTGGCACTTCTTGGGGATTTCGTCGGGATATTCGTTCTCGTAATCTTTGAGGCGTGGATGCAGTGGGACTCTGCTGGATTCATGGCTCTCATCTGGTACTTCGTCTCTGTTTTTGTTCTTGCTGCTTTCATGCTGACCGTTGTCAGAAGGGCGTTGAAATGGATCATCCGGAAAACGCCCCAGGGGAAACCCGTCGACCAGAGCTACATCGTCCTTATCCTCCTGGCTGTCATGTTCATCGGCTTCCTCACCGACATGTTCGGTACGTCCTACCCTTTTCTTTATAGTTCAATGGAGGAAAGATATTTGACTTATGTTATTACCTATAGGTCTGGCTATAGCTGTGGGACCCATTTGGCTGGGACTGCTGATACCGGATGGCCCTCCCTTGGGTGCGACGTTGGTGGCTCGGAGTGAGACTATCATCATCGAGTTTCTGATGCCTTTCTCGTTCGCTCTGGTCGGGCTTCACACCAACGTTTACCTGTTGACCCCCGAGGCATGGCCTCAGCAGCTCGGCCCTCTTTGCGCCATGTCCATTGCCGGTTACGTTGCCAAGTTCGTGTCCACCACCGGTGCGGCATTGCTATTCAAGGTCCCTGCCAGGGACAGCTTCACTCTCGGGCTCGTCATGAACCTCAGGGGACAAATCGAGATCTTGCTTTACTTGCATTGGATAGACAAACGCATGATCGGACTCGCCGGTTTCACCTTGATGGTCCTCCAAACTCTGCTGATCACTGGTATAACCGGTCCTGTTATCGCCATCCTCTACGACCCAACTCGGCCCTACAGGAGCAGCAATCGTCGAACCATTCAACACACTCCCCCTTGCTCCGAGCTCGGTTTGGTTCTTGCCATCTCCCACCACGAAACCCTGGTTGGTCTCCTCAGCCTCCTCGACTTTGCTTACCCCACCATTAGTAGCCCGTTTGCGATATTCGCTGTCCAGCTGGTGGAACTGGTGGGCCGTGCCACTCCAATTTTCATCGACCACGAGGAGGAGGAGCAGGATGTGGAGGGCGAGGGGGATGAATCCGTGACCGGAGGTCGGGACGACCCCATCCAGAGTGGGTTGAGGCTGTACCAGGAGAGAAGAGCGGAGTGCGTGAATGTACATGCCTACACAATATTGTTCAGCGGAATATAACATAGACTACGAAGTGAAAGGACGCAAGAAAAGAAACCCTATCTCAGGTTTATATATAGCGAGTAAACCTGATGTGTGTATATGCATATATATATATATATACACACATATATAAAGTGGAAAGATGGATGGCGAACGACCCATGCGCCGAAACGCCTCATGTACCGCGATATATGTGAAATTGCCTTGGCGAAGCAGACATCCTTCATTCTATTGCCCTACCAGAAAGAGCGACTGGAGGACGCAGCTCCCACCGAGCTACTAGACAGTGGGATGACGATGGTGAACGATGACGTGTTGGCCCATGCCCCTTGCTCCGTCTGCATTTACCACGACAAGGGTCGGCTCAGGAACCGGACACGAAAAGGGAAACAGAGGTTGGTGGTGCTGTTTCTGGGAGGAGCCGACAACAGAGAGGCCCTGAATCTGGCTGAGCGGATGACCAGGAACCCCGACATAACACTGACGGTGATACGTTTCCTGTCGTTCGGGCAAGAAGGGGACGACGAGAGGGAGAAGAAGCTGGACGACGGGGTGGTGACTTGGTTCTGGGTTAAGAACGAAGCCAACGAGAGGATCGCGTACAAGGAGGTGATAGTCAAGAACGGTGCTGAGACGTTGGCGGCCATTCAGGCCATGAACGCAAACGATTTCGACCTTTGGATTACGGGGAGGAGAGAAGGAATCAACCCTAAGCTTCTAGAAGGGTTGACGACTTGGAGCGAAGACGATCAGCTCGGTGTGATCGGCGACACCGTGTCCGTCAGCGAGTTCGCCAGCCACGGTTCAGTGTTGGTCGTGCAGCAGCAGGTCCGGAACCATAATTCCCGCGTTGGTTTCTTCAGTGGCAAGTTTTCGTTGTAAAAGACTAGTCTGGTCTTGTTAGGGTTTTTCCTTTCCCTTTTTTTTAATCTTAACATTATGTATAGTGCTTTCGTCTGTAGCATGAGTTTTGTAATAAAAATAACTACAACTGTGTACTGAAAACAACAGTGTAGAAAACGGTAGTTTTTTTTCCTTGATTTCTTGAACTGATATAACCAGGAATAGATTCAGTTCTTGAGGAAAACATAGATAGATATGACAGTACAAAGAATCAAAGAGCTTACAGCATCAAACATGAGATATATGTTGTCTGAGTTGTGGAATCACATATCCGGAGAAACTCCTTTCACGGTTTTGCGAGCTGAATCTCCGGCGTTCCGCATTCTCTGAGCTTCAAATATCTGATAACTTTTGATTCATTGCTCAAACACTTTTGTCACCTGTCTTGGTCCTCCTCCTTGGTGTGCTTTTCTCTTCAGGGAATACATATAACACTCCAGATGATCATCATTTTCTTTTACTATGCTGCGGAGCGATGGTACGAACCCTTTAACCAAGAGGAGGAAGATTGATCTGAATGTTGATCTTTTCTTCTTTTTCTTCCCAGATGGCAGAGAAGACCTGACACAGACTTGGATTACAAGATTGTGCCATGCCAGTGGTGATCTGGACCAAAATTTGAAGACTGGATGGGCAAGTACCGATGACAGGCAATTCTGTTGGTCTTTTTCTGTCCCAAATAAGACCCTCCAACAGGGAATTCGGGCTCCATGCACTCCAAAGCACCGCAAAGTTTAAACAGTCAACCAAATCTGAGCCAAGGTTCTGCAGAGATTGTTTCCACACAGTTAGTTAATACTTAATAGCATACAGTGCATACAAGTATACAAAGAACTGATTAGAAAAGCTAACCTCGGAACCTCTTTATTGGCCGAGCACTTTAGTTGGCGATGCAGAAAAGGAGTCTCTGCATTTGCCGATAGCATCTCCACAAATTCTGCCTTTTTGTCTGGGGATAAGACTTGTAGGAATCCTCCAACATCAGAAGCAAAGCACGCTAAATGGCCAAATCTGCGCACAAATGAACAAAAGCTCAAAGAGACGTAGAAAAGCAACGTTGAACTTTATGCAAGGAATTCGAAGACAAGAAGACATTAAAGCAAGAAGTTTCTTCTCTCGATTTCAAGTTCTGCCAAGTACGGACCCCTTAGGTTAGCATTCTGAGTTTCTCTTTGTAATTTGTGCGTCAAATTTGATGCACTTGACATGCGACAATCAAACTGCATAATGAACAACATGAATGGTGTTGGCATCAGGACAAGCTACGATGAAAATAAGGAAAATTCTAAATTAATCTGGCAAAGGGGCAATATCATCACCATTTCATCAGTCGGGTGAGAAAACTTGCATTCTATGAATTTCGTAGGATGCATTTGGTCATTGTCGGCAGAGTGCTTCCAGATGGTGTTATCTTCAAGCATACAGCCAAGATAGTGTAGAAAACACTCCCAATCGTCTGGACTGTCAAGAGAACACAGGAAGACCATATCAGCATGATGGCATAAAAAGCATAAACTTTAGCTGCAGTAGCAAACAGACCAAATGGCAGTCAGACTAGAATTCTTAGAATCACTGACAGTTCAGAGGCTCATGCTTCGAAGACATACCTTAACGCTATTATTTGCTTATAGACATCTCGGCAGAGGCAGCATAGTCCCTTGCCAGGAGTCTCCGCTGTCGGAGTAACAGGGCTAGGCGAACACATGGGAAAGGAATTCAATATGCAAAATATCCATGTTATTATGCATAAATAGAGACGCTAAATAAGATTTGATCTGGGAAAATGTATAGTTATGAGATATTTTGGCATCCTTGTGAAACTAATCATGAGAACCATGAAGCAAAACTATGAAACTTGTTTTTCCTTTCACACCGAAAAGCTTTGTAACCCACCTGTATTCGTAGTTTATCAACTTCAATCATCAAAAAGAGACCCTAGATTTCCAGAAAGCACTTCTAAAGCATCATTATATTTGGACAGTTTTTCCAGAAGAGGGATATAGACAATGAGAGCTGCAAAAAGTCCGCTCTTTAATCAGTAGAAGAAATGATACAGAGGTCTTCAACTTCCACAAGGGGGCAAGTGCAGTTAACCTTCTGGCACATGCAAACTGCGAGAAGCTATGTGCCTCTCAAGTAAACCTTCTGCCGTAAGCAATAGCTTATCTCCACCTTTGGGAAATCCTCATAGCAGTAAGTAAAAGAATGCAGATATTTGAAAAGCCTGATCATAAGGTTTGGTGAGACAGGGTTTGAAACACGGCCGGTACCTGTAACTGACCAAAGCAAAACCCTTTCTTTTCCAGCAAGTTTATACATTTTGATGGCTTCTTAGCAATTTCGAGCAAACTGACAATGCCTCATCCATGTTGCCCATTCTCTAAAAAATGAGAGCTTTAAGCGCTTAATAAACACGACCCTCCATTAAATTACGATCTCATTTCGGTAGGAGACCAGAGAAGAATGTGGGTAAAACACCTACAAGAGCATAAGGAGGATTGGGGTACTTGGAGAGAAGGGCGGTGACGAGCTTGAGGGCATATTTGAACTGACGAGAATCGATGGCATCCTGGATGGGTCGGACCCGCCAGCCCGAATTTCGATGCCATTCGAAAGAGTTGGAATGCTCTCGCAGGTCTCAGTTGCAGTAATGGAGGATCAGAAGGCTGTAGCCGCTGGAAAAGACCAACTGAAACCGTTTGGGAGCGGAGATAACTCTGTCACGGTTCAGAATAAGACTGTTTTGCTTATTGGGCCTAACCAGGCCCCTCTTGTTCGCGGCCTGCTCTGGTTATCGCAGCGCGATGTCGCCACTCGCCGACGCGCGCCACCTGCCGCCGATCGTTGTGACTCCCGCCGATTCCGATCCACTTCTCACAATACTGTCGTACGGATATCTCCGGAGCTCCGGTTCTACGCCCAACAGCGGCGACATCGAGCCTCCCTCTTACGCCGATGTGATCTCCAGCCCTTTCGACGAGGGCTCCATTAGGGAGATCAACGGTGCAGAGAACAATAGCTTTCTAAGTCTATCCGCTGACTCACTCTCGAGATCTCCGTCTTCCCCTGGCTCCGATTACATCAAGATCACTGTATCGGACCCTTAGAAAGAGCAGGAGAGCGCTAATTTCATCGTTCTTGGAGGAAACACTTACATCACCTACCTCATTACGACCACAACAAATCTTCTTGACTTTGGTGGATTCGAAAAAGATTCAGGGATGTTGTTGCACTGGCAGATCGATTGGCTGAGTCGTATAGAGGGTTTTTCGTCCCACAGCGGCCAGACAAGAGCGTCTGATCGTGT